GTGTCTGCCCAATGCTGCCTAGCTAGTTAGTGGCAGAGCAGGACCAGAACCCAGGTCAACTGTTTGTTGCAACCCATTGAGTAGCCACCAGTGGGTTGTTCTTGGATCATAAGAGGCAGGAAGATATACCAGCAAGTTTGTTTTTTAATCAACTTCAACAAAAGATCATTAAGAGATGAGTGTTGAGGTCAAGAATTCTCTAGTCGTTGGTGAAGCTTTGGCGTGTGTTCTGTGAGCGTGCAGCGTGTCTTCTTTCCTCAGGTATTAAGGAAGACATTGGGTGGTTTAGAGAGGTGGCTTGGGAATTAAAGGAAGTAGGGATGAAAAATAGTGTAAAAGTCTGCTCGTGGATAACAGTTTGTTGTTTGTTAGCTTATTTAGATTTTTCTCGATTTCAGGACCAAGCAGGTAAGCTTATGCCACTCAGTCTATGAAGCTGGACCTTCAGCCTCATGGAATGCCCCGCCAAGTTTCCTATTTTTCCAGTTGCAGCTGAGAAATCAATGATAGGATGCATTTTCTATTAGTCTAGAGGCACTGGTTTTTACCTTTTCATTTCTTCTTCTTGAAACATTCTATTTCATCTCAGTTTACTTCCTTGAAGTACATGTTTTTGGTTAGGGAGGATACATTTAATTTTTCCAGAGGAGAATTATGTACTAATGTACATCGAGGAGAATGCGGGAAGATGAGAACTCTTGCACACAGTTGGTGGGAGTAAACCAGAGAGCAGTTTGGCAACACCTAGTGGGAGCTGGCAGTGTGTATTCCCTAAAACCAGCGCTTCCACCTTGAGATACACGCTTTCGATGCTCTACAGTTGAGAGCAGTGCTACCCAGTGTGTGATCTGCAGATGGTGAAGGTTTGTGAGCTGTTTGTTTCTAGTCCACAGTGAGACAAGCACAGAAAATAAGAGTAAGCGTTTACAAGCTTTCAGAGCAACTTGACATTTCCACGACATCCAAGAGTGTGACTTTGTATTTTATAAAAGCGTTGGTCCAAAACAGATTGGAAATAAGAAAAACAGGTCCTTTATCACAGGTGGTTTGGGAAGCACTGCCCTGGAGGAATCTCACACATATGCAGAGACCTGTAGGGGATTGCTTATAATGACTGGATACGTGTGTGTGTGTGTGTGTGTGTGTGTGTGTGTGTAACAACCTAAATATCTTATGGTTAGGAAAATGTATTTAAAACATCACAATATGTCCTATGAAAGAATATTATTCAACATTTAAAATGAATGAACTAGATCTACATGTATGAACATGGATAAATCTCAAATAATTTTGAATAAATGAGCAAGTTACAAAATGATACCTACATTACAATAATTGTATAAAATATAAAACACAAAATAATACTGTTTGTATTCACGGTAAATGGCTGACAACATGGATGGGAAAGATGCACACCAACTTCAGAAGAGAATTTAACTCTGGGAAGGGAAAGGGGGAATGGAATTGCGAGTGGGTAAAAAAATCAAAAAGCTTCAACTATGTCTAATCTTTTATTTCTTTTTTAAAAAGCTAAAGCAAATATGGCAAAAATATTTACATTCATCGTATCTAGGTAGTAGATACCTGGGTGTCAAATTTTTTCTATATTTTTCTGTATTTTAAAAATATTTCATAGTAAAATCAGCCTCAGAACATGATTTCTTTCTGATCTAGAAAGCAAGTTGTACATACTAGACCTAGACCGTGCAGGGAACTTTATTACCTGCGGTATCCAGGGACGCATTTGTCTTCCCAGTGTCTTAAAACCGGATATCAGCCTGAAGGGCAGTTTCTGTGCCTCAGGGCTGAAGACAAGGCATTGATTCAGAGCCAGGGAGCAGGGGAAGAGTCGCCTGGATTCTGGTTCTGGCTTTGTGACTAGCTCATTTGTAACGGTGGATTTCCCATATCGAAACCTTGATTGCTTTATCTGTAAAGTTAGTGAGACGAAGACGTATTTTCAGCATTGAAATTTTATAACATATATAAACTATATACAAATGTATATTTGAAATGTTACATAAGTTAACAACTTGATGCTCCTTTTTACAATAATTTTAGAGGCTAAAGGAATACATGGAATGAACATACATATAGGAATAAGATTAAATATATGTGCAGTGGAGTCAAATCTGGCTTTAAATCTTGCCTCTCTGCCACTTACCAACCATGAGCCTTGGTTTCCTGGAACACTCTGATTTTCTATTTCCTAAGACGAGAATCATAATAAATAGTACCTACCTCAGCTTGGAAAGATTTGAAGAAATAATGGTATTATTGTTGTAGTTGTTACAAATCAAGTCAATTAACTTTTGTGCCTGGAAAAGTACTGGAATAAATTCTCAAACAGCTAATTACAGCCATCTTCTGAAGATGGGATGAGTATAACATGCCAATCATTCTTTAAGCAGCAAAGTACAAATTTTCTAAAGAAAATTTTTTTAGGAAATTTCTAAACTAAGTACAAATTTTCCAGACTAAACCCTGCCACATTCTTTTATAACCATGCATTCAAAGTGATTTAGAAATGGTCCTGTTTTAATACAGGACCCTAACCAGATGAATTATAGATTGCTTCCAACTCTTGAATTTGCTTTTATGTGGGCTGTGGTTGAATGGCCTTAACTGTTTACACAGAATAAACTTGAAATAATAAAATTGAGAATACTCTTGATTTTTAATTTGTACTTTGTAATTTGTACTCTTGCACCAAATTAATTTGTACAGAATGCACCAAAGCAGAGCCAGATGACCATGTGAGAAGAATGGTCAAAATTTGGATTAGTGGGGGCTGGCCCGATGGCGTAGCAGTTAAGTGCACTCGGTCCACTTCAGTTGGCCTGAGGGTTCGCAGGTCCGGATCCTGGGTACGCACCGACGCACCGCTTGTCAAGCCATGCTGTGGCGGCGTGCCATATAAAGTGGAAGAATATGGGCACGGATGTTAGCTCAGGGCCAATCTTCCTCAGCAAAAAGAGGAGGATTGGCATCGGATGTTAGCTCAGGGCTAATCTTCCTCACACAACAAAAGAAAATTTGGATTAGTGAATCCCAAAGCCAGGCTATGATTTGCCATGGAACAAAAAACTTGGGCAATCATCTGTCTTGCTTAGTTACACAAGGCACAGTTAATGTGGTTGGGCCTCTAGTTTTGCTGACGCAATGTATGTTGATAAATCTAAGTTTTGAAGGCTGGGATTTAATGGAGCCATGTGGTATCACAGGGGCCTGGTAACTGAAAAGCTTCTGCAGTTTATCAGCAGAAAGATAACAGGGAGGCCCTGGTTCTACTACAAGTGCTGGGGAGATGCTTATCATCCAGGCTCTGAGAACAGGAGTTTGATCCACACCAAACACTTCAGAAATAATGTCAACATACCCAAGACCTCAGCCAGCAAGGAATTCTCTGAGATAAGATTACAACGTTGTCCTTAAAGGGACACCAACTGAGTCAGTTGATCCCCAGATATTGCCCGAGCAGGGCAACCCTGTAAATTATCCTTCATACCAGGGGACTTGAGGACCTCAATTTTAGATGCAAACATTCTGCTGCTGTTTTCCAAAGTAGGCACAAAACTCTAGCTATATCTAAGAAAATCCCCATAGGGTCAAGATCCTGAGTGATCCTTGGTGCCCTCGAGATCAGCCAGTTGTAGAAGCTGGAGGCAGCTCTCTATGGCGAAAGCATTCATTACCTTATTTCAGGATTTTGTTTCTTCTGGATTGGCTGTGTCTTGGCCAGAGGGCCTCCAAGCCCGGTCAGACCTCTAGTCTAGGTCAAGGATGAAGTCATTGTTGGAAAAGGTGATTCAGCCTTTGAGACGAGCAGATGTAAAAACCACTGCCATGATTCGTTTAAATAGCTAGTCATGTGTTTGGTTTAAATATCAGTATGCAAACTGGTACTGGGGTGACGGGGTCCTTCAGGGGTCACAGTAAAGCTGGCCAGGGGTTCTCCCAAGGCCATTCTGATGATAAGAAGCAGCAGCATACAGAGAGACAACTCACCTTTGATTTCTCATCCAGACTCGAACAGTATCACTTCTTGCTTTGAAATGCCTCACATTCAGCTCTTTGTACTCCCTGTGCGTAGTCCTCGTGTGGCCTTCTGGATTCCAGTCCCTCTTCCCGGGGAGACGCTGTATATAGTTGTGAGACTAATTAAACATACAAACAAACAAAAACCCTTTATATCATGTCATTTCCCAGTAGAGTCTCACAACAAAGTTCATACTTCTCTAGTTTATTATTAAATGTCCTCACTAATCTGTCTATCCAGCTTCTCCTTCTCTGTTAATCTTTATTTCATTCAAAGGATCTACTTATGAGCTGTGTTAACTTATTTTTCCATTTTCCTGCCTCTGTGCTTTTGTTCCCGCCGTCTCCCCCTTTCAGAATTCCTTCTCCCTTCTACTCAGACACGTCTCTTCCATTAAAACTTCTCAGACCAACCCCGCCTACACTGATCTGACCCTCCTCTGAACACTGCTTACTTACCGTCTCGAGTCCACACCAGCGCTTTGGCAGTTAATCACATAGTGCTTCGTGAATTTATCTTTATTTTGCGTGCTCTGTCTTGGTCTTTTGCTCTTCTCTACCTCTCTCTGCCTCTGTGTGTGCGTAGCTAGATAAGAGCTCTATGGAAATAAAATGTATGACTTATGTATCTTTAGAATACACTACCTCACAGGTGCTGCGTGATATAATTATTGGTTGGTAATTCTTGCTTAGGATCTTGATTTTTTTCCATGAAGGCAGGAGTCTTTTGTCTTCTATCCCCTCCCGTATCCACAGCACCTGGAGCAGTGCCTTGCACATTAAAAATTGAGTGAGTGTCAGCTGTTAGCCTCCAGAGAGAGTTTCCTCGACCGGAGTCTGCAGCTGGCCTTGACATTGTGCCTGTGGCCTAGTTCCCAAGGAAGTAGCTGTCTTCCTCCTAGGCTGGCCGCCTGCCTTAACTGCCTCTGACGCGGCCACGTCTGTCTGTTCTTTCTCCTCAGATGCTTACTCTCATTCCTCAAGTGAAAATGGAGGCAAGTCCGAGTCGGTGGCCAACCTGCAGACTCAGCCCTCCCTGAACTCCATCCACAGTTCCCCCGGTCCCAAGCGCTCCACCAACACCCTTAAGAAGTGGCTAACGAGTCCCGTGCGCCGGCTCAACAGCGGGAAAGCAGATGGAAACATCAAGAAGCAGAAGAAAGTACGGGATGGTCGGAAGAGCTTCGACCTGGGATCTCCCAAGCCTGGAGATGAGACGACCCCTCAGGGAGACAGCGCTGATGAGGTACTTACACGAGGCCCCTGAGCCTTCCATTAGGAAGGGACTTCTGACATACATCCTGCCTGGATCCTTATAAGGCATCCTTCCCCAGGTTCTGTAAACTGGCCAGTTTCTAGACCTCAGTAGTTTGTCTTCTTAGGCCTAAGTAGTCTGAGATCTTTATATTCTCACGACCTTTTTAGTTTGATTTGTGACCAATTCAGAGACTGACTAGCACCTAGAATATCCAGCAGACAGACACTATTTTGCCAGATTTGGAGATAGAGGCCTGGGCCCAAAGGGAGCCAAGGGAACCTAGTCCCCTGCCTCTACATCAAAACCTGCTAGGCCTGTTTAGAATAAGAATAAAAGAGTGGAGACCATTTCACTTGGAAAACAGAAGACTGTACTGGGAGATTATAGCTGTTTTCAAGTATTTTGAGCAGTGCCACATACAAAAGGGAGTAGACAATTCCAGGTTGCTCCAGAAGGGAGAACTGTGATTAACACCTGAAGGTTTACAGTAGGCAAGGTTTCAGCTCAAAGAGGGACTTTAATGGGAAGTCAACCAGTGATGAAATGGGCCTTCATGAAAACAAATGAACACCCATACCAGAAGGCTTGGGAGACCGTGTGACCTCACAATACAGTCAGAGAGATCCATGTTAGCCAAGAGGTCAGGCTGGACAATGACCTCTGAAATCCCTTCCAAAGCTGAGATTCTGTGTTCAAAATATCATAGGTATGTTTTAGTTGGGGGAATGAGATAACTGTTTTATTTGGCAAACTAACCTACTCTAGTCACTGATGTGGCTAAGAAATTCTTCCTGATGTGTAACCAGACTCTCTCTGTAATTTTATGCTGTCTGCCATTTCTCCCTCTGAAAATGGCACTAGAGCCTGGTGATATTCAGATTGTGATTTAATAGTCCTTCAAAAACTTTGAAAGTTAGGTTCTCTCTAACCGTTCTTTCAGCTTTCTCTTTTGCTGGCTAATCAATGCAGTAGATGTTTCTCGTGTGTGTGTTTTCCCCCATTTGGTCTTCAGTGTCCTCTGAGACAGCAAGTGTACCCATTCCACAGAGGAGGACAGTGAAGCTGAAAAAATAGGAGTGTGTTGAGAGGAAGGTATCTTATATGTTGCTTTTTTATTTATTTATTTATTTATTTTTGTGAGGAAGATCAGCCCTGAGCTAACATCCGTGCTAATCCTCCTCTGTTTGCTGAGGAAGACTGGCTCTGAGCTAACATCTATTGCCAATCCTCCTCCTTTTCTTCCCCCAAAGCCCCAGTATATAGTTGTATGTCATAGTTGCACATCCTTCTAGTTGCTGTATGTGGGACGCGGCCTCAGCATGGCCAGAAAAGTGGTGCGTCGGTGCGCGCCTGGGATCCGAACCCGGGCTGCCAGTAGCAGAGTGTGCGAACTTAACCGCTAAGCCACGGGGCCGGCCCCTATATATTGCTTTATTAAAAATTCCAAGTCCTGAACCACAGGCATCTTTAACTATATGAAACTGTGACTAATGCTGCTCTTTTGTTCTAGAAGAGCAAGAAAGGTTGGGGTGAAGATGAGCCAGATGAAGAGTCACACACCCCCCTCCCTCCACCTATGAAGATCTTTGACAACGACCCCACGCAGGACGAGATGGTAGGACTTCTTTACTTTCTCGCTTGAAATGGCAATGTGTACAACATGTGATTTCGTTTTTGTGTGTGGTGGGGGTAGTAATACTCTCTCTCCCTTGTTGTCTCTTACACGTGAATCCATGATGACGTAGATTCCGTCTGTATTTGGTAGGGGTCCCCTCCCCTAACCCGGGACGTCTGACTTCGTTCTGGGCAGGGTATCGGTATGTGTAGAATTCCCAGAGTGGGAATCTTCCTGCTGTCTCATCCTGTTGATGAAGAGTAATGGCTCTGCCTTTGGAAGCATCAGGTCCCAAAAGGAACTCTTTGTCTCAAAAAGGAATCTGAGGTGGTTCCAGGTCATGATCACTTGTTGTACCTGACTGTTCAACTTACATTTTAGTTGATTGTTTTCCCTATGCTCAACTCTAAAATCCAGATCACGGTAACTTCTAGTCAAGCCCAGTGCTGTTGAAATTTGGCAAACACAGCATGAGGGATGGAGATGCTGTGAAGGCAAGGTTGTTGTCAAAGGTGGGCAAACCGAATATGCCAGGTTGCTGACTGGTGTCTGAAATGTGAATGTCCACCAAGTCTCCAGTCGGAGGGTGATCGTCCCGATTGTTCTGGAGCAGAGGCTCAGGTGGGATGTGCTTCCAGGTCCTGACCCAAGGCTCAGGGCTGTGTTAACTGTGTGCTCCGTCCCTCACTTTCCTTACAAACTGTGCTTTCACTTCACTGGGTTTTTCTTGCCTTTTCTTAGCGTTGCTGTCCTGTTGGACTCTGGAGGTTGAGGTGGTGGTTTCAGTTTTTGATTGTATTTTGCGTTTGCTTTTCAGAGTGTCATTTTGTTGTGGTGGTAGTGGTTGCTTAGCCATCCCTCCAGGGTCTCCCTGTGCTCTCTGGTGCTCTACCTTGCACTGGGCAGGCTCCTCTGCGGTGATGGGCCCAGCCTGCATAGGCAGGGAGTAAACTTTCACACCGCCACCCAGGATACAATTCGAAAAGGACTGTTTGAAGATGCTTCAGTGTTTCTGGTGATTTCCCAGTGCTCGTTTTAGTTCTCTCTGCTTTGCATTTGGATCAGTAACCCACAGACATTAATTGAGATCTTCCTCTGTGCTAAGCTGGAGGGACGTTTTCTAGGGACAGGATGATGACTAAGATGTGGTTGCTGCCCCCTCTGTGACTCATCATGAGAAGCACACAGTTTCACCCCTCCTAAAGTGATGTTGGTGGCCCTGGTCCCCGGGGGCAGCTCTGACTCCTGACTGTTGGGAAGAAAAGTAGCAGGAAGCATGGCAGGATACCCATCCTGGGTTCCCAGAGGCAGAAATGCCTGTTTCACCTTGAGATGGGGACAAGGACCAACCTGCTGTGTTCCCGGAGGCCTATTGTAAAATGTTGTATAAACAGTGATAGTGTATGTGGGGAGTAGGGCACTCATGTCACATTATCTGCCATCCCACACAGTCCTCCACACGGAGGTGCCAGCTTGCATAAGATAAGCAAAGGTCACGGACCTTCCCCCTCGAATTCCCTCAAACACAGCTTTGTGGAAAAGGATGTTATGTTTTTTCTGGATAATTTTTAACTGGGAATGTGGACTTACCCCTAGACATTTGTATAGCCTTTTCTTAGCCAGAAATAGGCAGATGCCAATAGTCCCTTTTTAGACACATTAACCCTCCTCAGTCCTGCTGTTTGATTTCTAAACGATTGTTCTTCTGGAATATTTGGGAGTGGGGTGAGCCTCAGAATCCCTAGCAAATAGAGTTGGATTTATTAAAATAATTTTTACAGCAGTACAAAAGGAATTTTTAAAAGTCCACCCATCATATTGTTGTACAATTAATTCTCCATGTTTCTTCTAATGTTTGTTCATATGCATGTATGTTTTATTTTTATAATTATAATATGCATATGATGTGTTCAATGTTTTACTTACTATTTCCTAAAATCTTATTAATTTTGCCTTTGTGACTATAATTTTAATAGCTGGGGTGTATTGCACTATTTGATATACTATAATTTGCTCCACCAGCCTGTTCGGTGACATCCCAGGTTGTTTCCAGTTTTTGCTACACTAGATAATACCGCCACAGATCACTTTGTACGTACAGTGTTTGTTCTTTTCACTTCTGTCCTTAGAATAAGTTCCCAGGGGTAGGATTACTAGATCAAAAAGTTGATAACTTTTCCAAAAAGTTGATAACTTTTCCAAGCAGACTTAGGCTGTTTTCCTACATTTTCCAAGAGAGGAAAAAGAGTGTTGTTATATCTCTCTTAATAACATTTATTTGATTTTTTTACCCCATCTCAGAAGCAAAGGCCTAAAGTAACTTTTAGATTATACAACAAGAAGCTTCCTTTTGGGGCCCAGCCCTGTGACCAAGTGGTTAAAGTTCTGTGTGCTCCGCTTCGGCAGCCCCACATTCTCAGGTTTGGATCCCAGGCACGGACCTACACCACTCACCAGCCATGCCGTGGCAGTGTCCCACATATAAAGTAGAGAAAGATTGGCACAGTTGTTAGCTCAGGCCTAATCTTCCTCAAGCAAAAAAAGAGGAAGATTGGCAACGGATGTTAGCTCAGGGCGAATCTTCCTCAGCAAAAACTAAAAGCTTCCTTTTTGAAACTCTTCCCTCTAACTTAAGGGACACACTTGAAGCCAGAGCATGGCCAGGACATTCAGGTTTCTACTCCCACCATCATTAGTGTCGAAAACTGAAGGAGCAAGCAGCCTGGGCCCTGGGCACATGATTGCCCTCTGCTGTGATGTGCCAGGGGTAAAAGCTGGCACACACATGTAGGGTTAACCATTTCTCCCCCAATTTCTTTTCAAGTAGGAGAAGGAAGAAAAAACCTCCATCCTTCAGTGAGCAGGAATCTCCAAACCATTGACCAAACAGCCACATGGACCAGTCCTTATTGCTGGTGCAGGGGAAGCGGGACAGGCCCTTGGCGTCAGCCTGCTTTCACTGTGAACAGCGAGGAGAGTCTCTGGCTGCTCCAGCATGAGACACACAGTCCTGCTAAAGCCCATTATTACATTCTCTAGTGTTCCAGTTTGGGGGCCTTACCAGAAACAGCTGTGTTTGTGGAGGCGTGTGTGCATGGGGGGGTGGAGTGTGTATGGGGAGGGGGTTTCTAGCTTCCTGGCCTGTAAGTGCCAGGTCTTTAGCATTTTTGCTTGACAGCCAGTGGATATCTGTATTTCAGATCTACATCTAAGTAAAGCAAGGACAATTTCTCTTCTTTGGACACACTCAAGGCTAGATTTTTGGACTCCCTTCATACCCCGGAACAGTAATGGGCAGCGCTGTAGTGGCCAAATTCCTGCCTGTCCCCGTCTCCTCATTGCTGTCACTGGGTGCAGCCTCCCGGGAACTCAGTGACCCCTCCCTCCCCTCAGCTCCTTCGGAGACCTGCCTAAGGAGAGCCTAGTGCCATCCATGCTTCGCTGCTGGCCAGAATTCCTGACAAGGGGTCAGGCAGGCTGTCCCACCCCACACCACCCCCATCTCCCTCTGTCATCTCTTCCCTCTAAACAGAGAACTTTGCTTCCCCTTGCCGGCTTTGAGCTTTGGCCTTGCTGTGTTGCTTCCTAATTGCTATTCCTCATTCCTGGCTAATCTGCTTTTCCTTTGCTGCTCAATGTCTTGCAGTCCTCCTCTTTGCTAGCAGCCCGGCAGGCTTCCACCGAAGTACCTACTGCTGCAGACCTTGTCAGTGCAATAGAACAGTTGGTCAAAAGCAAGCTGGTAAGTGGGGGTCCTGGAGGCAGTTCTGCGGGTGTCTCACCTCCAGGCGGCTCCCAGAGCCTGGCATCTGTCTGCCAGGTTCTCCTTTGCACCCATCTTCATTCCTCTTCTAGGATTGCTTCCAGCTAATGATGGTTCCTAAAAACCTGTGCCCCAGGTCCTTTTTGGCTTTGTTTGGGAATGGGCACTGGCAATTAACAGGCCCTTTTGGGATTGTGACGTTGATGAAAGGTGAAAAGTCTCCAAAACAAGGTAGCCTCCCTGTAAGCCAGGTCGACTGGCCTACAGGGAAGTGGCATTTGGACAATGACCGATGTGTATCTGGTTAGCCCTGAAGCTGACTTTGCTGCTGAGACACAGAACATGGATTGGATCTTTGAAAGCACTGGGTAATTTTATTCGGGGACCTCAGATAGTCGCCTAGCTTGCCAAAACTTGCAAAAGTAGATCACTGATTATAATGGGGAATGAGCAAAAGTGCGTGGATACTTCACCCCAACAAATTAAGGGAACTGGTGCGTAACCCATCGTGGGAGGTGGTGGGGAGGACTGAATGTAAGCCACTGGAAACTGGTCTAGCTTGTGACTGTCTCACGGAGCAACCAGACCACTGGAGAGAAGGGTTATGAGTCTGAGCTGGTTCAGGGTTTCAGCCGATGATAATGCTGCTGAAAGAGCTCCTGTTTGGCTAGAGCTGTTCCTCTACTTCCATGCTTTTACATCCGAGTATATCACTACAGGATGACAATGAGTCCTTCGCTCTCGTCCATGTCACTCATTTGGTTTTTCCTGCAACTCTCATTAGAGTAAATGTCTGTGCTTCCCCCAGACTTCTGTTGGACAGTCCTATTAATCAGCGCCATTTAAACCCTTCTCCACTTGGCCCAGGAATTAGACGAAAATGATGGGTGCTCTCTAGGGAAAGCTGCCTGATGATAATTTTGATTACAGTAACTCCCTTTTCAAATATCCCAGCTTACAGACAACCAATGACATTTAACACAAATGACTTTCTTCTTTCCTTCTAAATTTTTCTTCCTAAGTAAAAAATAATTTTTTGCTAGAGTTTTTAGTAACTAGTGTCACACTCTTGAAGGTTGTCTGCTTTCCTTCTCTCTCTCCCTGTCCCACTGGTGGTGACTGAGTGCTCTCATGGACACTACATCTGCTTTTCAAAGCACACCTATCTTCCTACTTCTTACTTGCTCTCCTCTCCTCTCCACACTGACCCAGACACCCTCTTCATTCTCCAAATACCATTTAAATTATTTTTTCCTTAAAAATCATCCTTTTTTTCACCACCTGAGCCTGGGTCCTGACCTCATGCCTGGACTATTGCAGTAGCCATTTGATCTTTCCACACTGTGGTCCACCTCCCAGGCCTTGCTCTCCTGCCAGGTCTTCCACGAGCACTGATGTTGCTTTCCTCTTGCCGCACGGGTAGTGGTCTCCAATGTGGGGGTGTGCCTTCAGGTACACAAGACAGTTTATTGAGGTACAGAAAGAAAATATTAGAATCCATTTATCTCATCATTTTTAAATGGTTTTGTGTATGTTTTATTATGCACATAATGATAATACAATAGCCAGAAATATAATTTATGAATAAGTTACATGTTTTGGGAGTGTATGACCAAAATTGTGTTTACTGGTAGAGGTATATAATCAAAGTTTGGAAATCACTGGCCCATGGAGAAAGTCCACACTTACCCAATATTCTAATGTTTTGTAGCCCATTCTCCAACCTGCCTTTCCAGCATCCACTTATTATTCTGGTTGATGAACTCTGCTCCAACCAGCTTGTTTTCTTCACTGTCCCCAACACACATTTGGCTTTCCTCCCTCCAAGTTTCTGTTCATACCACCCCACTTCTCTGGAATGTTCTCCCTCTTATTTTTGCTTATCTAAAGCATAATAGTCCTTCAAGATCCTACTCAAATCTCATCTCTCTACAAAGGCTTCCCTGACCAGCCCAGGCCAGAGTTCTTCTGGAATCCCACAGCAATTACTATATAAGCCACATACTGCCTGGGACAGCTCTTAGAAGGTCCTGTTGTGTTATTTGTTAAAATATCTTTTCATGGCAGCTTACCTCCTCAACTACATGATTAGTCATTTAGAACATTATTTTTACCTCCTTCACACTTACACTTACATCAGTAAACACTTGTTTCCAAAAGTCTGTATTTTTTTCATATTTTGGATTACCTTTTTCCTACTACTACTGTTCACCTTAGCACCTGTTGGGAGTCTCTGTGGACCTCTAGTTTGTGTGATCAATGGGTCTGGTGTTAAACATGTGAGTGCAGGTATAGAAAAGTCCCATAAGAGCAAATTTCCCAGAGCAGAGGGACTGTAGGATGGCGGTGGAGTTGATCGGCCCCATAACAGGTTCTCAACAAATATCTGTTGAATGAATGGCCTTTCTGTGGTGAGTTTACCATAATAAGGGCTTTTATTTCTTCTTCCACCAGTAACTACTTCTTGAGAACCTTCAGTGAGCCCAGAATTATAGACGTTTCTTTGGCCAAACATATAAAATCAAGCCCATATCATGGAAAGGAATGAGGGAGCAGTGGTTTGGTTTCTCAGAATCTTCTCGCCAAAATTCCATCCTTTGTCTTTTCCACTACTTTCTCTTTCTTCCCATCCCAATACATACCCACCGTGGGGTAGCGATGAAGCAACAGGAGGTGATTGTTTCCTCAGCCATATTTGAGAATACTGAGTTGCATTTTCACCTCCACGACTTGAATTCCTATTCCTCATCAGCTCTTTAGCTTAGAAGAGGGTAAGATCTGTTAAAGTTAGAGGTTTTATTTGACTCTAAGTACAACAGTGTGACAGCTGCCAAGATAGTCATCGTGGTCATAGGTTCAGTTAGTGAAAGTACAATGTACAGATCAAGGGGAGTAATAGCCCCATTGTACTCAAAGCTCTTCAGACCACACCTGTCATGAGTTGTGCATGAGTCACACATCAGGTTCTGAACACAGCATTCTAAAATGTTCTTGAACTCAATGGAAGGGCCCTGGAGGAGGTAACCAGTGCTATGTGGTCCATGTCATTTGAAGGAAAGTTGAAGAAACCAAGGTTAAGTATGAGGAGAAATTAGGGGAGAGGAGACACATGCGAGTTGTCTTCTAATAATTGAGCACCACCATGGGAAAGAAGAGTTGGTCTCACTCTTCGTTGCTCCAGAGGGTAGAACCTAGACCTGTGGGTGGAAGTTATCTTAGTTCAGTATAAGACTAACTGATAAAGTCCTTTCCAATTTATAGAGTTTGGAAATTTTACAGGAGCATCTGGTATACTTGGACTTTTATATCTAGGGCTTGGCTTCTTCCTGCCTTCTTTTTGGTTGCTCAAGACATGGTACCAAATTCTGCACTTAGAATTCATTTGGCCCCCTCGCTTTGCCTGAAAGCCATGAGATCCCTTGTGTCTCTGGGTCCCAAGGCTGCCCTTGGTGTTTTTTGGTTACATGGTCATGACTGCACCAAGGCTTCCGCCCCAAGGAGTTGTGATCTCTGCTGCTTGAGAGCTGCTGTTAGGGAATGAGGGCAGGTGTTCTCCACTCACCTGCGGTGTAGATAAAACCTCGGAAGCCCTCCTAGAACCTCCTTTGGCAAGTCCCTGTAGACAGTAACGGACACTTCTGAGTTCTTGCCTGCGAGCCTTGGTGTTTAACCAGTGCTTTTGTTTACCAAGAGAGGATGCCCACCCACGTCCCTCAAATAGAGCTAACATACTTTTTCTGGGTTTTGTAGTAATGTATTGTCTTTAATTCTGAGCCAGGACTAAGGACTCCTCTTGCTCTCCCTGTGTGATTTTTAATAAAGCTTTTCCTAGACATGTGGACTGGCGGTGGTGGTGGTCGTGAGTGTGTAAGGATTCAGAAGACCTAGGTTTTAGTCCTGCCTCTGCTACTTATTGTATAGCCCTGGGAAAGTTACTTCGTCTACTTGAGCTTCTCTTTTATCTCATTTATCAACAACAATGATTCTATCCACCTGAATCTAGTCTCAGGAGAGGTAGGATGATAATTGAGTAAGGTGTGAATGTGCTTTGTAAACTGATAAGCGGGCATCCTACAAATGTTAGCTCTTAACCACCTCATCTGCATTGTGAAGGGCAGGGAAAAGGAACCATGCCATACTTCATCTTCTGTAGCCACACCCTGGGCACAGGGACACAGTATTTGTCAGCCAGTAGATTGGTGGTTGGGTGAATGTTGCAGGGTAATATCTTAACAACCCATATGATTTGGTTTTATTCCTCAGTTTTGAGAAGCAAGAGCTTCCTGGCCATGTGATAATCTAGTGTGCCTCTAAACAGCTCCAGGATTCTACCACCTGCATGAGATGAAAGACTGAGCCTCTAGAAAGAAAGATCGCTCTCTGAGCTCTTAACCTCAGGTAGCACATCACAGTAGTTCATTGGGCTCAGGATGGCACCAATGGACCCTTGGCTGATAATCCTCTGCCTTTAGGGAAGGGGCTGGCCAGGATTGAGCTCTTGTTCAATCCTGCCTGCCTGGTGGCCTGGCATCCTGAGAATGAGTTCTACTTGCTTCAGCAAGACTTCCCTCCCTCTGATTCTCCTGCTTTGATAGCATCCATCTCCCTAGGCTAGCCTTGTGGGCGACGGAACATGGCTCGGGCCAGGCTGCATTTGTGTGTGTGCTTTGCTCTCCTTTAGGTGAATTGACTTGCTTTGTCAAAGGCAAGGTAGAGTTAGCAGAAGTTCAGAGTCCAGATGGGAGGAAATAATGGCCCCATCATATCCATTGTGGAGGTGTGTGTTTTGGAACTGGGTTCTTCTGGCATCCCTCTGTGGAAAAGATTCTTGAGCTTGTTGAAATAGAAAAGTTTAAATTTTCACCAAATAAAATTTAAGACAAAGTCACAAATCTGAAATGTCATTTGCCTGGAAAATCCAGACTTCAGTTTTTCTACTGTCTAGTTGTCTTCCCCACCCTCACCCTCAATATGCGGGAATGACTAAGATCTAATACTTTTTGTCCAGAGAATATTATACAAATTTTTATAGAAGGGTGGGGCAGCTGAGAGGTTGGTGTGGTAGGTGGTATTGGACCAGCACCCTTACTTGTTGTCTTATCAGATGAGCTTTGACCTCTCACAAAGAGTTCCACAGTATATTCAATGAATTCCTGGAGTCCTACTATGTGCCAGCTCTGAGATCAAGCACAGAACCTTCCTTAATGAGGCTCACAGCCTATGGTTAATGATCAAAATCCTCTCCTGCCTAGACTGTTGTAACCATTTCCTCCCAGATTTTAGTCTGACATCTCTCTATGTGACTGCCAGAGAGACCTTTCTTTTCTTTTCTTACTTTTTTTAGAAAAACTTAATAGCTCTTTTCTGACTAATAAAAGCAATGTATGCTCATTCAAGAAAAATTGGAAAAATGACAAGAGTATAAACACAAATTATATCACTCATAATATCATCATCTACACATATTCAGTGTTGAAATATTGATATATTTTCTTCTAGACCGTTTTTAAAATAATGTAATCACAGAGTATATAAAATTTAACCTTGTTGGCCTTTACTATTATATCAGAGATGTTTTCCCACGTCATGAAAAGCTCTTAGGAACATTAAGGCTGATGCTTCTAAAACTTAAATTAAATCATGTTACTTCCCTGCTTAAAATTCTCCCATCATTGATCCTAGAAGGTAAAGTCTCTACCTAATGCCACACACAAGGCTCCTTATGATCTGATCCCTGCAAACTTCTCCAGGGTTATCTATTTCACGTCCCACCTCTTCTTTCCCTAGTACTCACTCACCCCAACTCACGTAACACACACCAACTCCCACCCTCTTCACACCCTATATCCTACCTATACCAGGCAGCTTTCAGCTTCCCAGGCTGCCCTGTGTAGTTTCACAACTTGATCCTTTATGCACAGTCCTGATCCTGCCTGGAATGTCCTTCCATTGGGGTAGCCAATGAAATCCTTTTCATTTCTCAATACTCAGTTCAAGCGTTACCTCTCCCGTTAAGTCTCTTCCTTCCCTCCACCCCGCTGTAGAGCTGCCTGCTCCTTTTGTCATCCTCCATGGTACCCCTTCTGTCTAGAAGAGCACCTGTTATAGCTTAAATTATGGAGGGCAAGGAGCCATCTCTTATTCATCTTTGTTTCTCCAACACTTTGCAAATATTCAGCATGTAGTAGATACTCGATAAATATTTGCTTTAGTACAAACAAATGATCAATTACAACACTGTGTAATGACTGCTGCTCATGGGATGTGTAAATGGTGCTTATAGGAGCCCAGAGGAAGGGCATTTTATGGGTATGTGATTCAAGGTTCAGCAGACAGGAAATGTGTTCATTTTTAATGTGGAGACAGCCTTCCTCCATACTTAATCTACTTTTTTGAATCCTGTTTGCATTTCTGTTCCCTGACCTTGGACCAACTATAGGAGCACCTATTGTGCAACTTTTGTCGCTCCCTCGTTTGTACACTATTTCCTTGGTCTACTGGGACTGTTGTGGCCTGAACCCTGCAGGGCAGAAGTCCTCCCTGTGGCTGCACAGCCCACCACGCATCAACCAGCCACCACTGTCTGTTTCTCCCTGGGAGCAGCACAGACAATTGCAGGCAACCCCTGGTGGCCCTCGGCTGGAACCCAGTATCCCAACTCTAGCACAGGTAGCCAAGTTCTCAGAGGGAATCACTCTTGAATTATTATAAGTATTTTTAGCCGGATTTTATTTGGGCAGATTACCCAGCATACAGCTTAGCCAAACCCTTTATTTCCCTCTTCTTCCTCTCTCATTGCCTCTGCCCTTCTCAGCTCCATCTCAGAGAGTTCTTCTCTGGAGATAACTTGGGCTTCTTTGCTCATAAGACAAGTCAGGCAGGAGGAGATGGAACATATTTCCGTGTGTGACACTTTGGACTCCTCAGATGTCCTTCCTTCTGTAGAAGAGTTGAGAGTGGACCACACCAAGCTGGATGTTTTGCAGGAGAGCCTTGTAGGCAGAGATGTAAGCCTGTTTCCCAGGCCTTGCAGCCAGCATCCTGCCAGCCAAAAGGCTGCAGAACAAAGGCTGTAATCAGACAATGGGGAAAGGGGTAGGGGATGTAAAAGGCATGTAATCAGATCAATCACCAGCTGGGTCCATCTGCTTGCGGAGTCTGTCTCTGGTGGTGGCACCAAGGGACATGTCACATGTCCTTGGAAAACTTGCCTGTCCGGTGGCTTGTCAAGCCTCAGCACCAGACACTCATTTCCTTAATAACTGGTTATAGATCCTGAATCTATAAATTTAGCTAAACTCTTCTTGACCTTTCTATATTTTTAGCCTATGCTGCTTCTCTGGATGAGAACCTCCATGGTTGACTACTTGTTCTGTAAAATGCCTTCGTGTCAAGTTAAAAGTAATTCTCTCTCTTAAGTTTGAAGACGCTGTCCTCTTATTTCTAGTTTCTAGTAACAAATTCATGTTTGGCTTTTGGCACATTCTGTTGATTTGAGAGTAGAGTAGGGGAAAAGAAGGTTGACATCTCTTCTTAGCTTTAAGTTTTTCAGTTTCAAGTCTTAATATTCTCCACCTGTGCTCATATAGCCACCCAGTGGGCACCTCATTCATTTTTTGTTTCATTTCCCTGGACTGTTTCTACCTCTAGTCGGCCCATGTTGAAATATAGTAGCTAAGAAAGTTCATGACAGATATTCCAAGTGCAGGTGGCTTAAGACCATGCTGAAGCCTTTTGTTCTTGCTACCTTTCTGGACATTTTTTGATCTTTGTGACTTTAACCTTAGGGGTGATGTTTTCAAAGACTACGAAAGTGAAGCCTTTCCTTAGCCACAGTGGCTAATGTAGACAGGCATTTTGTACGGATAGTTTGGATTAGTCTCCCCTGTTTGCTTTGACCTTGCCTACCTTGACCTTGATCTCCAGTCTTACTGTTTATCCACATTGCTTCTGCCATTTGCATAATGAAATGCTAAATGTCACTGTGTGATCTTTCTTCCTGGGTACTTGTAAGAATGTTAAGATGGACCCCATTTTTGAATGTCCTTATTCCATACATGGGAATGTCCCAGTTCCATACATGGGAAAAAACTCATCATTATAGAGCATTTTTAATTTATCAAGGGGTTGTACAACTATTGTCTCTCTCTATTTCTTAGAAATCTGTAGAAAAGAGAGAACTGATGCGAAAATTGAGAAAAACTGAAGCATAGAACAATTTTAGTTGTCTCACTTAAGACCATCTAGTCTCTAGCAAATCTCGGATTAGAATCCTTTACCCCTAGCTTTTTCTTGAGTACAGTATTAATCCCTTTAATTTATTTCTCAATCCTGCAGAACTTTAATTAAAAGAAATGAAAGAGATTAATAAATGAAAGAAAGCCAGTGGTAAATAACCTTAGCAAAGATTTTTTTAGAAAAGGCTAGGGCCGGCCCCGTGGCTTAGTGGTTAAGTGCGTGTGCTCTGCTGCTGGCGGCCCGGGTTCGGATCCCGGGCGCGCACTGACACACCGCTTCTCCGGCCACGCTGAGGCCGTGTCCCACATACAGCAACTAGAAGAATGTGCAGCTATGACATACAACTATCTACTGGGGATTTGGGGGGAAAAAAAAAAAAAAAAAAAAAAAAAAAGAATTGACTCTATAAAACATTTCTATTAAAAAAAAAAAAAAAGAAAAGGCTAAATCTATTGACCTCTTCTTGTCAATATCTCGTCAGCCTCTTCAAAAAAAAACTGTAGCTGATTTAATAAGATTTTACCAAACAGTTCTCCTATTACTACCCTCACCTTACCAGTTGGCATTTGATGGTCCTACAACTCAGTTTCTAACTGCTTGTTTGGTGTAGAATTGCGATGATTAGCTTTACCTCTGGAGCTCTTTCCCAGAGATAAGTCACTTGACGATTTTCATTATGTCTGGGAAATTGGCAGCACAGGACGCCAAGCACATCCTGATTGCCTGAGAAGGCAGCAGCTCTGCCGCAGGAAGATGGGAGTCTCTGGTCTCCTGGTGCTTCACTGAGGTTGGGTGAGAACAGCCTTGGCTACTATGCCAAGTTGGCTGCGGCGAGGCTGGGGGGACATGAGGGCTTCCAGATGGCTTTTCAGTGTATACTTCTCTAAGGTTGTTTGTTCTTCTCTTTTCAGAGTCTAGAAGGAGGCTCATACCGGGGAAGCTTGAAAGACCCTGCAGGCTGCCTGAATGAGGGAATGACCCCGCCCACACCTCCTAGAAATCTGGAAGAAGAACAGAAAGCCAAGGCCCTGAGAGGCAGGATGTAAGTGGCTTTCCCGGATTCCACCGTGGCGTGCGTGTGTGGAGTGGACAATGGGCAAGGGTTGCGGGAAGCTTGGGGAGAATTAGAGAGGGATTCCTCACACTGTGTTTCCATTGATATCATTCATTCTAAGTAAAGGTGACCTGGATCTATACAGTGTAGCATTGATAAACAAGGAGCTACTGTGGCACTGACTTTAAGAATTTTAAGCTGAAATATTTTCTGTGAGATAGCAGCTGTTATTGACAAAGTGTGGTTATAAGCAAGGTCTGTTAGAATAAAATATGCTGATAAAAGGAAAATGACAAAGTTCGGGGAACTATGGACTATTGCTCTGGTCCCATATCAGAGAATCCATGGCAGAAAGTCGGAGGGAGTTTCATCTGAGGAAATGTTTTCCCCAGATGTAGGAAAGTAGTGTTTAGGAAAAGGGAGCTGTTTTACCACCAGACCAGGGCCTATCTCTACTCCTTCTCCAGAGGTTTTAATTTTGCATCCATTGGTGGGCTTAGTTCCAAGAGAACCTCTTCACTTTTTGAATGGTTGGGATAAATACGATTTACATTGCAGTCCATTTCATAAAAACCCATATGTCATGGAAGGTTTGCGTAATCCACCTTGATGTGAAGTCAGTCTTCTATTATTTGAGATGATCAAGAAGATATCAGATGCCATTAATGCAAAACCACAATTCCTCTGAAACTTGAGTTTTTTTGTTTAGGGTTTCACTCTGTGTTGGAAGCAGAGCTACTAATGAGCCTTGGACATAGCTCGATGTGTAAGATGTTGTAAGCACAGCGAGAATTGGGTAGGCAGATGTGAAGGGTCCCTCCCTGTTGCTAATTAGTCCGCCCTTCTTCCTCAAACTCATTGCTCCTTTAGCCTGGTTGTAGACGTGAAGATTAGCAAAAATAAATGAAGCCAGGTCCTTCTGTTGCCTGGAAATAGGCAAAGTGAACGTTTATGACTTTGTTTCCTAGGAAACATCATAGCCAGGGCTTGGCCTCAGAGCAGGGCTGTCACTTCATAGTGGAGATGAGCAAGTGGCCTGTAAGCTCTCTAGTTCCGTATTTACCCCCTCAACTTATGGGTGCTCAGGGGAAGCCCAAGAATGGAATAGAGCTAGAGAAATACCATCCCCAAGGGAAATGTCGCAGGACTTGTACAAAGCTAATTCTCCTTGGCTTCTCAGGCTGTTTTTACATAGATGAGGCCGAGTTGGAGCTGATGTTCCAGTCCTTTGTCAAGCCAAAGCAAAGCTCAGATCAGGGAAGTGAACTTTGAGGTAGCAGATGGTACTTGGCAAAGCCTGTCACTACTCTTGTCACTTAGGTCAAACGGGCCTATGAGCAGTCATTTATGCCGTTGTCCTGCTTCCAGACATGATATTGTCCGATTTTGCTCCAAAGGGCAAAAATTTGCTGCCTCTTTTACCCACTACACTCATCTCAGCTCCCTCTTCTCTGTTGCCCAACTCTCCACCTGCTGAGCTATCCTGAAAATCCAGCTGTTAGATGTCTCATTCCTCTTTCTGTAGATTGTTTTTATCCTGCTGTGATCTATGGCCACGATGACAGAGAGGATACATAGGTGTTTAATGGTAAGCCCTATGTGCGACTAGAGGCTGAGGGGTATAGAGAACTCAGACTCAGTCCAGAAGATGGCAAGACATCAAAGGGTTAAATGAGAGCTCCATGGAGAAAAGGTGAAAACAAATAGTTATGCGTCTAGGAGAAGAAAAAGGCTGAGAATGGACCTAGTTGTCCAAATTTTGGTTGCTCATTCATTCAACAAATATTTGTTGGACACCTGTTATGTACCAAGTGCTTGGGATACATCAGTGAATAACACAAACAACAAGGACAGAAGTCAAGTCTGTGCTCTCGTGGCAAGTTGACATTCTAATGGGAGAAATCATATAATAAACAAAATAAAAAATAAATTATGTGGTATGTTAGAAGCTGGAAAAAGAAAAAGTAGTAAGGGAGATCAGGAGTAGGTGTGAGGCCTTGTTCCAGTTTTAAATGGTTCTGACATTTGCACAAACACCAGCGGGAGGTAAGGAATTAGCCATGGAGGAAAACTGTTCAGTGGCAGAAGGAACAGCCAGTGCAAAGGCTCTAAGGGATTTTCTGTGGAAGACCCGCCACTCCCTACGGTTATGAAAGATAAAGATTAGACTGGGGTCTGATCTGTAGCTGGAAGAAGTTTAGTTGGACCAAAGAATAACATTTACCTTGTGAATAAGCTTTACTAATAAGAAGTGAACATGAAAAAAAAAAAATTGCTTTGTCATCAATTCAATTTATTTGGCAATTAACCGTGCACTGCCTTGTGATGCATGTAATTTAAATCTTTTATGTATCTTTTCAGAACGTCTTTTAATGTGTCATTATCTCCCCAAGTATTTTATCAGCCTTTCAAGGGAAGAGACGCCAGGTCTGCTAGCAGCACCTAGTCCGGTTCCCTTTCCTAGAGGCTGGAAAGCCCAAGATAGCCCTCAATCTGTCAGCAGATAGCTTGGGATAAAAATATCGCCTGGAGACAGAGAGCTGAACTCCATCTCCAGAGGGCCCTTCCAACCCCAAATTCCCACTCCAACTTTGCTGTGGGTTTTCTTCTACCACTTTCTTCCAAGCACTAATTGGGCCATGCTGAAGATAAATTTAAATGCTTGTATTTGGCCTTGGCAGTTCCTTCCTGGGGCCTCCAATTCGCAATTGTGTGTATTAGAGAGAGGGAGCTGGTCGAAATTGCTGAACATGCTGATAAAGAAGCGTGTGTTCCTTTTGCTTCCTCCCCATCACCCTGAGGCCCCAGACCCGGGGAGTTGGTGGCTTCTCTGTGCTGTGTAGATCAAGAATTCCAGATGAATTGCTTCCTGGGTTCAGAACGATTACAACACTTGGGCTGGGGCCCCTCTTTGACAGTTTAGAACTTAATCCTTTCTGCCACTTGGGCCAAAAATGCAGTTGTGTGGCTCCAGGCAAAACTCTTTCAAATTTAGGTAATACAAATCAGACTCCAGTAAGCTGCACGGCACCTAGCCTGGCCGTGTGCACAGCATTTTAAGTCCAGCCTTTTACTGTCTGGAGAGAAAGAAAGAGAAGTGCTTGGGTTTGATGCCTCAGGGACTCCAGAGAGCCAGTCTGAGTAGTTGGCCAGGCAGCGGACGACAGTAAAAGAGCAGAGTCTTGGACTCCTGTGAAACTGGGTTCACATCCCAGCTCTGCTACTCACTTGGTCATCTTAGGCAATACCGCCTCAGTATTTTCATCTATATAAAGTAGGTTTTGTAGTACCTACCTTGTTAGAAGCATGAGAAAACCCAGAGGAAGCAACTGGCACAAAGTAAAAGCTCTGAGAGGAAGAAATCATTAACAAGAAAGAAACGAAGAAAGCAAATGTCCTTGAAGTTGTTAAATCCTGCCTCTGGTGGGGGTGGGGAGGTTGCTGCATTCCAGGTTGTGATTATGGAATGTCTGCAGTCAATCCTGCTGGCCTTGACTGGGGATTTTGCAGGCTAGTTACCACGGATACCCATCTGAATAATTGTGGCTTCTGTATCTCAAAAGCTTCACTTGATGTCAGTGTCTCTGAGGCCTCAAAGGTTGCTTACCAAACAAATGTCTTTTTCTTGTTAAGCGAAGAATGGAGCTGAAATGAAGGAATAAAAGTCTCACATTGATCCCTTGGCCTCAAAGCTTTCGTAACTCAGTTTGCCAGAGTGGTTGTCATTCCTTCTGCCCTGTGTCTACACAACTGTTCAGTTATAGGTGAGGGAGGAAGAAGCAGCAGAAATAGAAAGAAGAATGCTGGGTTGTGAGTGTTGTTCTTTATCTAACTATTGTGTGCTGTCTGGGAAAGCCCTCTAGGCCTCAATGCCCTCAGCTCTTCAGTGGGGCCTCTTGTAGAAAAAGCACCAGTAAGCACCTTCCTGAGAGGTACCAAGCGTGGGGTTTTGGGTGGGCTTGTCATAAAGATGCCGAAGCAACCTTCCTGTGAACTTAAGTGTGAAGATTTCTTGCTTTACAATGAAGAGGAGCCCTCATTGTTCTTAATCTCCTGCTCAGGTTTGTCCTGAATGAGCTGGTACAGACAGAGAAAGACTATGTCAAGGATCTGGGGATTGTGGTGGAGGTGAGTAAATGGCTCAGGCTGGGACTGTGTCACCCAACCAAGGGCATATTGGACCCTACCTGGGCCGAGGTGTTTTCACTTGAGGGTATGTATTTTACTCTGTCTGGGTATTTGCAGAAATGAAACTAACAATGGTAATAGATCAAACAGAATATGTAACTAATTTTTTTTCTTTTTCCCTTGAAGTATTTTAAGAGGTTTAGAGGGAGGTGGGGCCCTGAATGTTGCAGCATTTGGAGGAGGCTCCTGGTTAGAGCTGAGTCCATTTCACCTTGTTTTAGGTGACCAAATTGTTATCTTAGGAGGTTTTCTTTGATATTTAACCTCATGACATATATTCTTCAGAGCTATGACCCACCGTGGGCACTAAGCAGGTAACTCTTAGTGAAACCTTGGGGTCTATATGTTTCCGTAGATTTTAGGGAGAACTTATGGCTACCAAAAAGACAGACAAAAAAAACCACCAATAAGGCAACAGTGACAGGTCCACAGTTAAGAGTCAACTTGGTCTTAAAACAGCTCTCTCTCCATAGAGCTTTACTTTAGGGAGATTTAGCACTTGGATGAGAAAATCTAAGAAAGTAAATGGATAATTTAGATGGCTTAGAGCTGTGTTGTTAATCACCTTAAACAAAGAATGTGAAGGCGAAAATTTGAGTGCCTGATCTCTAAATCACCTGATGTTTCCTTACATTTGCCCTAAAGTTCCCCATCCTGTGAAACCTACTGATTTAGGAGTTTGTTTTTGGTTATCCTGAACCTTGTATAAACAGACTAGCCTGGCATATAGAGAACTGAATTCTAACTTATGGAAAGTTAATTCTCTTCTCCAAGGGGGAATATGGGCAGGAAGGGGTACTGTGCCTCCATATGCAGCACAGCCTAGAAGTAGAGGTCTTAGGCATCTAGAGACTGAGGTCCAGGGAAGTCAGACATCAGTGGTGTGACTGTAAGACAAATCACATAACTCCCTGGTGCCTTGGCTTCCTCATCTGTCAGATGCGGATAGATGCTGCCTGTGCAACCTCAAAACTTGATTTTAAAGCTGAAATGAGACTATATATGATAGCATTTTACAGAGTCTAAAGTATTAACTTATTAAGACTTATTTCTAGGCCAGGTGTGTCTAGTTCTAAGCCTTAACGACCATAATTAACTTGGATTGGGAGAAGGGAAAGGGACAAATGATTGTCTTCTTTCTTTGTTCCGCTTTCTTAAGGGGGCTGGAGACCAAGGGATCCAGAACTTCATAAAAGTTTTGTCTATCATTCTGCACAAAGGGAAGGTCCTGGTTGAATAGTGAGAAACCACAGAAGCCCTTGCCCTGAAACTCACGCAGCGATGGGTGGTTACCCGGGACTGCAGTGTGGGGCTCGGCCCAGAAAGCTTTCCTGTGAAAATGCTCTACTCACCATTTCTCCACTCTGCAGGGCTTCATGAAGAGAATAGAAGAAAAGGGTGTCCCTGAGGACATGCGAGGAAAGGATAAAATAGTGTTTGGAAATATTCACCAGATCTATGACTGGCATAAGGAGTAAGTGCTACATTGTCCTGAGGGTTGGGGTGTCCTGGGAATCCAGGACTCTCCCGTCCTCCCCCTGCATCTGACCTTAGGGGTAGGGTTTGGGGAGAGTCTTCTGTCATTTATCTCAGCACTGAGAAATAATACAGTCCTGAAGAATGTGGCTTCTTTCTCTTATCCCTTCCATCCTTTTAGCTTTTTCCTGGCTGAACTGGAAAAATGTATCCAGGAGCAAGACAGATTGGCACAGCTCTTTATTAAACATGTGAGTGTTTCCCTTTGCCCCCAGCCCCCTACCCTCAACCAGGCTTATTTACATTCATTTTAAAATTCCTTCTCTCTTCTGCTCTTCCTTCTCATCCCTCTCTGAGTTGTCGGTTTCTTTAACCTTCTTGGCAGTCTGGAAGACCTCTTGCCTACTGCACTTACTCTTCTATCCTTGACATTTCACTGCCCTGGTGGGTCCCCAAAGAGTAGACTGTCTCTTTGTCCTTCTGTCTGTGTGTAGACCAGCACAGCCCTCTGGGACTGAGCGTGAGGCACGAGGTGCCTGAGTGCCCGTCCCTCTGCCTTTGCAGGAGCGGAAGCTGCACATCTACGTGTGGTACTGCCAGAATAAGCCGCGCTCAGAGTACATCGTCGCCGAGTACGACGCCTACTTTGAAGTACGCTGCTCAGGCTTTGCTGAACCAGGGCCAGGGGGGAGAAACTCAGGCCAAGACCACCACATCAGAAGCCCCAGCCGTCATCCATCCATAGGTGGCCGCACACAGCACTGTTGACCCCCTCAGGACAGGGAGAGCTACCTCAACAGAGCGTTAGCTTCTGAGCTGTGTTCTCATGAGCCGCTTTGCTTGAGGGAGCTGAGGCAGCCCAGTGTGCGGCTGCTTTGAGAAACCCCCATGTGCAGAATGACTCTGTAACATACAGACTGTTGCAGAAGTTCTAGTCCTCCTTGTGTGACCCCAGAGCAGACTGTGTCCACACTCTTCCTCACCAGTCCCTGGAGGCTGCCTGCTGAGACCCTCCTCCTCCTCGAGGTGCTCACAGTTACCTCCTAGTCTCTGCTGCTGTTCCCAGAGTTCTGTCAAGCATCTCAAAGTGTTTGTTTTGCCCCACCCTGGAAGTGTTTATTTTGCTGGAGGAGAGGCAACACCATCGTTTGGAAAGAGCCCTCAACTCAGGGTTTGCAGATCTGAGTTGAGGGCCCAGCCCTGTGGCTTGTGTCCTAGGAGAAGCCCTTCATTCCTGACTTGGCCCTGGAGTGGTAGAGAGAACAGAATACCCATTCCAGCTTGTCCCCCAGGACTGGGATGAGGACACAGGGTATGAAAGTGCTTGACATGTAAGAAGGTGATGGGGAAGTGTGTTACATGTTGTTAATAACAAATTAGCAGTTGTGTAGACAATTCTACCTCGTATGGTTTGAAGATTCTAAAACTTTATTGGCAAACACCAAGACTTGCCTTCTTTGTCTGAACCCTGATCTTGAGCACCCCAATTCTTTGGTTCCTTTTTTTCTAACACAGCTCCCTTGTGTTCCAGGAGGTGAAACAGGAGATAAATCAAAGGCTGACACTCAGCGACTTCCTTATCAAGCCCATTCAGAGAATAACAAAATATCAACTGCTCCTCAAGGTAAGAGAGCTGTGAGCCTGGGTCAGGGCCGGAGAAGGGTCTTCTGAGGCTCTGAGTTAGGGAGCAGGTGAGCTTGAGGTTCTGTCTCCACCACACTTTTCCTGTGAGCGAGTGGGAGGAACATGTGGGCTTTCATCTTGGCTGTTGGTTACTGGTGTCAGCTTTGCCTCCAAATAAATTACATGCCTGTTGTTCCTGCCTTTAAGGTTGGTTGGTGGGCCGGCCCCGTGGCTTAGCGGTTAAGTGCGCGCGCTCCGCTGCTGGCGGCCCGGGTTCGGATCCCGGGCGCGCACCGACGCACCACTTCTCCAGCCATGCTGAGGCCGCGTCCATACAGCAACTAGAAGGATGTGCAGCTATGACATACAACTATCTACTGGGGCTTTGGGGGAAAAAAAAAGAGGAGGATTGGCAATAGATGTTAACTCAGGGCCGGTCTTCCTCAGCAAAAAGAGGAGGATTAGCATGGATGTTAGCTCAGGGCTGATCTTCCTCACAAAAAAAAAAAAAGGTTGGTTGGTAATTCATTTTCTTTTCTCCAATTCACTGTCTTACTTTGTCATCATCACTGACTTGGTACCTTTAAAAAATAAAAATAATAAGAGCATAAAATCAGAGTGGAATACAAGGAGAAAGAAAAAGCAAGGCCCTAGACACCTTAGATGAGTAATACCTAAAATTTAATCATATTTTACTTTTGAAAATGGTGTAATTTGATTTGTCTTACAGAGACATGAGGTAAATGGAAGAGAGATTTACCTTCCTTTGTCCCCTCCTTTCTTGTCATAACCCCCGTCTCTTCCCTGCTCACACACTTACTCTCTCCTCTTCTTCCCTCCCTCCCTCCCTTTTCCCATAGCTTTGAATCTTTGAATATTCTGGGGTTTTCTCTATGTTATGTCCAATGTGACTCATAACTTCATATCTCAGCTACTAGACACCACTGCCCTCTCTCTTGGGGAGGAAAGTCTTCTGAGTGTTATCACAGTTTTTATGATGCTTAAGTTTTTTATAGCACTGTTTTCCTAACTATTTCACCCTTCCCTGCTTCCTCCACTTGCTAGGACTTCCTGAGATACAGCGAGAAGGCTGGTTTGGAGTGTTCAGATATTGAGGTGAGTTTTCTGCGTGTAATGCTGACTCTTCTTAGGGACGATATTGGATGTCTGTCTCTAAAGGGGAAAGGTTGTCTCTGGACAAGCGAGGGTCCAGGCTGACTCCTCTCAGACAGTAATAGCCCCTTGCAAACAGCTGCTCAGCAGGATGAGGAATGGCCAATATCAATGAACACACTGAGTGTTTTTCTAGAACTCGAGAATTCTGTCCTAGGCTAGACCAGAGCTTAGCCCTGCTGGTGTTCTTCTTGTGGCTTCCAGTGACATGTGGTGGAAAGGGTGGTATTTGAGCCCTCTAACATCCTTCAGAGTTTGGATGTTTCAACGTGCAATTTTATCCGTGAATCCAGACACTGTTTGAGTCTAACATGTAAAGTATTTCATTGTCACTCCCCCACTCGCCCCAAGGATTACTCCCTAAGTGAAGTCCTTTGAGACAACGTCACCATGGGGATTATTTTAAGCCAGGGAGGTTACAAACTATTCTGGCAGGTTGTTTTAGGTTAAAACCTCTAGTGTCCCACAAGCCATGCTAAGCTGTTGCTTGGGCAGCCAGGAAACAACAAAGAGAAGACAAAAAAATACAAGAAAGAAAGGGAATTGATAAACAAAAGTGGGAAGGTAGGTGAAGGATGGGCTGGGTAGTATTCTCCCCACATGTGGTCACTGATTCACGTGGAGCCCCTGCCCTTGATGACCAACACCCCCCAACCTAGAACAGAAAATCGCACACTCCTGAGAGTGGGCAGCAGGGACCAGGGTTCTTTCCTAGAATGAAGGAGCTGCCAGGAGGTGCCTGTCTTCCAGCACAGAATTGCCCTGAGCTTCCTGCCTGAGTGCTATTCCCCGTGCTGAGCTGCTATTGTTCTTTCCCACAGAAAGCAGTGGAGTTAATGTGCCTTGTTCCAAAACACTGCAATGACATGATGAATCTGGGACGCCTGCAGGGCTTTGAGGTGAGCCCTTAAATGCTTCTAAGCCCTCTCTCTTCTGGGCAGCAGGAGCCCAGGCTGGGAGGCGGCTTCCCTTTGAAGCTCTGTGCCTGCCTCCTCTGCCTCCTTCACTCGCCATCTACGCCTTTATGCCTGGGCCCCCATGGTTCACAGGCCTAGAAGATGCATCTATTTAGGACATGCAGTGATAGGGCGGTCATAGGAAGTTACAGAGCAGTCAACCAGGCTGGAGTCACAATTCCAAAGGGGTTGGAAAGACCCAAAATTCTTTAGGACTGTGGACCCAGCAATGACTTCTTCCCTTTTCTTTCTTTCTTGAGAAATGCTGGGAATGTGAAGGAGAGCCGGACGATGTGATGGAAGTAGAACCAGAGGGAAAATGGAACACTTTTTTTTTTTTTTTTTGAGATGGTGGTTCCAATAAACAGGTCTATATAGCGGCTGGCTTTTTAGTTAAATGAACATTTAAAGCTCTAAGACATCAGAGTGCACATCTCTGTTCTTTGAAGAGGATAATCAAGTCTTAGGAGAAACAGCTGGATGGCCCCAGGATTTGGGTTTCAGTGAATGTACCAGTTTGCTAGGGCTGCCATAACACAGTACCACAGACTGGGTGGCTTAAACAACAGAAATTTATCATCTCACATCTCTAGAAGCTAGAAGTCTGAAATCAAGGGTTGGGCAAGGGTGGTTCCTTCTGAGGGCTGTGAGGAAAGGATCTGTTCAGGCCTCTCTCCTTGGCTTGTAGATGGCCGTCTTCACGTTCACATGGCACATCGTCTTCTCTCTGTACATACCTCTGTGTCCAAATTTCCCCTTTTTATAAGGACACCAGTCATGCAATTAGGGCTCACCGTAATGACCTCACTTTAACTTGATTCCCTTTGTAAAGACCCCGTCTCCCAATAAGGTCATATTCTGAGGTACTAGGGGTTAAGACTTCAACATATGACTTGGAGGGGGGTACAATTCAGTGAAATTTTGGAAAGCAAATTGACTTTCCTAATTTAAACTTAATAAGTGGCTGTTATTAGTTTATATCCAAACCTCATATATTAACTAAACATAATCTGTTTTGAATATTAATATGATAAAATTGGAACTGACACATCATTGACTGGTACTTAGTTGTTGCTGAACCCCTTAGAGAAAGATGTGGATCTTCTAATCCTGTTTCCTGATAGTCCTGCAACCTAAGATTTCATTATTCCTTTTTGGAGAAAAGGGATTCGCGGAAGCTGAGCTAATTAAGAAAGTAATAGCCTTTTTTTTTTTCCCTGACTAAACTAGAATAGATAGAATAGAATAGATATAAGGCAGACTGGTATATAAGTAAATTTAGAAGATGATATCTGTATTCAAGTTTGGGTTCATGAGTTGGATTCATGATATTCTTGAGCCAAATTATTTTGTCCTCCTTGTCCTTCCAGCCCATTCTGGTGTCCCTGTCTGATTTCCATTGCTTTGTTGTGACCAGGAACTATGCGGAGGGTCTTCTTTGAGGTTCATTTTTTGTAGATTCCCGGTTCTCCGTGGTAGAGCTGAGGCATTAGAGTAAGCAGCATTAGGCAGCGGAAACACACCTGAGTTCTTCCACAGTGTTTCTTTGGTCGTACTAGATGAAGTTGTACACTTTGTCCCTTGGAGTTATGCCAGGTCTGAGGCTATTCTGAACAAGCCAAGTAATTCCTATTGCTCTTAAACCTTGTTGTCTCCATGTTTTCTGAGCAGGAGTCTGGCTTGACTTGCTCTCAGTTCTCAGAAGGTCAGAAGGAACTGCCCGCTGACAGGAGGAAGGGCATCTGATGGTGCTGTCTGGCTCAAGTTAGACTTCACAGGAAGTATATTGTGCATGTGTGTGTGTCTACGGAAGGCCACACACAGGAGCGTGGAATCATTTTCTCTTTTAAATCAAGCACCACCATCTTTTTTCATCAAGCCCCAGAGAATCTGCTTTGCATTCTTTCAGCTAATTGGGAAGAACTGTGAATGTACTTCCATTCCTTCTGAGGTCCGTGGCTTTGGGCCAGGGAGCAGTTAGCCCCCTCACTTAGCTTCCCTCCCTTTAAATCCTCTAGCTTTCCCTTTAGCGTCAGCAGGGCTATAACTCACGGGTCAGGCTCTTATGTAATATCAACAGAGCTGTTGGAGCTCTCCTGGCTAGCTGGTCATTGGCTTAATATTAACTTTGGACCAAGGTAGAGATAAGCCTATGTGGCTGCTGACCTTGACAGTTAGGAGCCATGATCCAAGCAGAGGGCAGACATTTCACAGGAACATGAAAGAAAAGTGACCTGTGTGCTGGGTAATGTTTGGAGTAGGGCATTGTATGCAGAGAATGGCCCATATTTGCACTAAAAGGCGAAAGTCATCACCTGAGAGAGTACAGTTCAGAGGAGGCCCTCTGACTGCTGTCTCAGATGTCAGTGTCTTCTTGTTGCAGAATAGTAGGAAAAGCAAGGCTTTCTTTTGTGTGTGTGTGTGTGTGAGGGAGATCAGCCCTGAGCTAACATCTGCCAATCCTCCTCTTTTTGCTGAGGAAGACTGGCCCTGGGCTAACATCCGTGCCCATCTTCCTCCACTTTATATGGGATGCCACCGCAGCATGGCTTGACAAGCGGTGCGTCGGTGCGCGCCCGGGATCCGGGCCTGCGAACCCTGGGCCACTGCAGCGGAGCACGTGCACTTAACGGCTTGCGCCACTGGGCCAGCCCCAAGCGAGGCTTTCTGATAGCATCTGTGAAGACTTGCTAGGTTGGGCCATATTCCCTTTGAAGATGTGAAGAAGTCTCTGAAAATCTGGTTAGAAACTAGCAAACCAAATAGGCTCCACCTCCTAGGCTGGAGGCATTTTAAGAATGATCACAAGACCCAGAAAAATATCTACCAGCTTATAAAATAGGTGGTACCCCAACTTTACCTGTTGATCTATAGCAGGAGATTAAGACTTCAGAATTGCCCCATCCTGAAATACTAGAAGGAGGAGAGAGGGGCCACCTCATCAGAATGTTTTTGGTCTTGCCTGCATCACTTCCCTTGGCCACAGGTTGGTTCCAGCTTCATGGCCACAAGAGTACCCCAGGTCCTTGGCCCATGCTGCCAGGCAGGCACATTTCTCAGAGCTCTTCTAGCTCCAGGTGTCACCTACTTTCTGTTCTCCTTTTAATAAAAAATAAGAAGGACCAGGATAATTCCTGAACATCTTTTTAGCTAATAATTTTATCTTCCTTCCTTCTGGCATTTTCTTGGAGCTGCTTCTTAGCTTTTCCTTTCCCTCCAGGGCCCTGGTGTCTGCCCTAGATGAGTGGGTGGGTCCTAATTCAGTCTCTTACTAGATCCCTGAGGCTTTTGGTGTCAGGTCCCCAGAGGGGGAGATCCTGTGGACCCAGAGGGCTGTGGCCATCTCCCCATTTTTCACCTACTTCACCCCAGCCCTTCTTCCTGTCAGGGCACCCTGACGGCTCAGGGGAAGCTGCTGCAGCAGGACACGTTCTATGTGATTGAGCTGGATGCAGGCATGCAGTCCCGGACCAAGGAGAGGCGCGTGTTCCTCTTTGAGCAAATTGTCATCTTCAGTGAACTGCTCAGAAAGGGATCCCTCACCCCGGGCTACATGTTCAAAAGGAGCATCAAGGTGAGAATCCCAGTGGGGATGAGAAAGAGCAAAAAAGTGCCAAATTGGGGAGAGCTGCTTCTCTAAGACAGGCACTGGAATGAGTGAGGATCCAGAACATTGAAGATCTTTCAGCCTAATAACCTTTGGGCATAAAGGTTGAATATCTGTTGGGGGGATGGGGTGGAAATGACAGGCTGAGTGCCAGTCTCTGGGGTGGTCCTGCAGGTTCTCCAGGATCATGTCATTCACTCAAAGACAGAAAGCAAAGTATTTAGCTGTTAGATCCATGGCAAAATTTTGGAAACATGCCCTGAAATGAAAACTTTGAGGAACTGTAATATGTTGTTGATTTTTTTTTAAACCCTTTAAATATGGAAAGGATCAACTTGGTTTCTTCCAGATGAATTACTTGGTCCTGGAGGAGAATGTGGACGATGACCCCTGCAAGTTTGCGCTCATGAACAGGGAGACTTCGGAGAGGGTTGTTCTGCAAGCCGCCAATGCTGACATCCAGCAGGCCTGGGTGCAGGACATCAATCAAGTCTTAGAAACACAGAGAGACTTCTTAAATGGTGGGTATTGGGCCTGGCTTCTAGCAGGGCTGTTTTCAGGGGACCCCACCCCTCTGAGCTTTCTTGGATCTAGGCTCATGGTGAGTTATGAGCCCAGATCACATTTTATATGCATTCCAACTTTGTGGTTTTCAGAAACACTTTGTTTAGAATTTTTCTGAACCTGAATATGCAAGTGGAACAGATGGGGCATGATAAAGAAGCCCCATCTTTCCACAAGAAGAGATATTCTCTTATAGCCTTGATGTAGGGTATATGCCTTGTGGCCACCACTACCAGCTGGTAATATTGGGGCAAAAGTCTGAAATGGGCACATCCTCTTTGTCCTACGGACCAGCTGTCAATGACATGTGTTTTCCCATTTGGTGGCTAATGGCTGGTAACCTCACAGATTCTCTAGTGTTATCTAGAGATAACTGGGAGGTTGGCAGATCAGCTCAAATCCCCCCCTCTGCTCCCAATGGTGTGAGAGCCTGGCTAAGTCATCTTGCTGGCCAACCTCACCCCTTTCAAATGAGAAGTGATTGCTAACTAAATTTCAGTAACTTTCAGTAATTTTGAAACTTCCCAGAACAAATTGATGATTACGCAGGCAATGTCACTCTCCATGGACCCTGCAGAAGTCTCCTAACAGGTGGTGTGAACGGAAATGAAGCGGAGTTGCTACCCTGTTTACATTTCTTTATTTCTTTTTCCCTGCTGGGATTTTCTTCCTATTGAGCTTGTCATGTGAAAGGAGGTAGACATTTTTTAACTAGGGTTGACCCGCTGAGTTGATGAGCTCAGAAGTCTTTCTGAGCAGAAGTGGAGCTTGAAGTTGAAGGCAAAATGTAACCGGTAACCAAATAAACCTGGAGACTCAGCAGCACATATGCCTGTGTACACACACGCATACACACACGTGTGCACATGGGCCCACCCTCCAGGGTGTCACCTCTTATTGCCAGTACTGGAATCTGGACTCTCTTTCAAATGATGCAGATAGAGCACTTGTTGGATGTCTAGCGTAGACTGAATGCTGTGGGGAAAGATTCAAGGTGACTTACTAGTTGAGGACCTTGGACAAGTCATGACGTTTCTCTGGGCCTCGGTTGGCTCATTTTGTGAAAAGGACAAGTAATCTACTTTGCCCATGCTGGCATGTGCCATGGTGTGCCAGCAGTACCGGAAGCAGAAAAACATGGCACGCATCCCTACAGCATCAGCTTTACTCCAGGGTAAAGGAGTTAACACATTGTGTTTATTTTAAAACACATAAAAATAAGTTATCTAGCAGGATGCCATGACTTTTGAAGATAGAAGAGGAGACTTCAAAGCAATTTTGCACTTAGAGTATTTTTGGGTCATGCCCCCTGCTCCCCCAGCTCTAGAGCAGTTTGGTAAAAAAACTAGACTGGTGATCTCCAGGGTTTTTTCTCATTCTAAAAAGTCTAAAATTAAACACCAGCCCAGCCCTGAGGGATAGTAATGAAAGTTGTATATAGTTTATGGTTTCTGAACGCACAACTTTGAATTAACACTTTTGTTGATAAAATAATTTTATGCAAAAATATATGCATATATAAAATACACTCATTAAATTGCATTCTGTTGTTAGGAATTTCTTTTTTTTTTTTTTTAAAGATTTTATTTATTTATTTATTTTCACCCAAAGCCCCAGTAGATTGTTGTATGTCATAGCTGCACATCCTTCTAGTTGCTGTATGTGGCACACGGCCTCAGCATGGCCGGAGAAGCGGTGCATTGGTGCACGCCCGGGATCCGAACCCTGGCCACCAGCAGCGGAGCGTGAGCACTTAACCGCTAAGCCACGGGGCCGGCCCATGGAATTTCTGATAGAGTCTAGGCTGGGATGAAGTTTTTAAGTTTATCAATTCAGGACAAAAGAAAAATACGGTAGGACAATAAATTGAAACCAGAAATAATTGAAGTAACAATAATGGTTCCCATATATTGAGTCCTTTCTCTGTGCCAGACACAATGCTAAGCATTTCACATGTATGTAAGCATTTCACATTTAATCCTCACATCAACATGGAAAAGTACTATCATCCTATATTTTTCAGGTGAGGAAAAGGAGGGTCAGAGAAGTTAAGAAACTTGTCCAGTATCATAAAAACAGTAGGTGATAGAACAAGGACTTGAATCCAGAGCTGTATGACTTTAATGGCTCTTAGCCACAGAACTGCAGTATTGTTGCTCGTGGTAGGACACACATTTATCTGTGAGCTCCCTAGCAAGCAAAGCAAAGAAAGAAACAGGATCAGCCGTGAGACACTGTATCCATCAGCTAGAAACAAACCCTGTCAGATGATGTACAGCTTTCTTGGTCCAAAGACCTAAGTTATGCAAATTGAGGCTGGTGGAAGAACATAGGATCTCTCTGTAGCTTATTTAAGAAGATGTGCTATTTTCAAACACGTTAGCACAGTTATTGCATATAATCAGGTAGTACCCCAATTCCATGTGATGGGTATTAATTCATAAAGTCAGTTTGACAAAGCCTACTTCGCAACTCTTTGCTATCTACTTAAGACTTAGAACTGCATTTCTTTGGGCATAGTCAATGATTCAGACTTTTATATGGTTCCAAGAGACCTTTCTCCTAATTATAGTGAATTATGGAGCTATTACTGAACTAGATTATCAATACCTAAATATTTAATGCCTACAGAACACTCTCCAGGGAGAAAGGCTGAGCTCTGCCAGGATCCTGCTCTGTACTTTGACACACTAGAGAGACAAGATGTGATGATGGACCAGGTCCAGGCTTTTACTCACAGAGACATGTGCAGGCATCTCAGAGTCCTTTCCCTCCTGAAACCTCAAATAGAAAGGAAGTGTGACCCTATGTTGAGTCCTATTGAAGTGTATACATATCACTATAGAAATGTTCTTATAATTGAAAGTTCTCAGGGCCCCAGCTGTTAACCCACTTAGTTAAATGTTTGTTACAGTGACTACTGATAAAAACAACATAATCAGGCCAGCCCTTGAAGTCCTTGTTATAGAATTTGACCTGTGTGGCTTTTGCCTGGCTGTACCTCTTTCGTACTCAGACCTTGGAACTTTGTTGTCTTAAACTTAGTTAAACAAAGCTCACGTCTTTCCCTTCATATCAGTTTTTCCTCTGCCTCCTTGACTACCATTCTCCCAGTCTCCAAACCTGAGTGACCCTTGATTCCTGCCTTTTTTCCCATCTAGACTGGGTCAGAGTCTAGTCTCCCTTGGGAACACTTGCCACACAAAATCCCTCCCACATTCCCCCAGGCTCCGCTCTGGTTAGGCCTCTCGCTTACCACTATCTCGTGGCCTCTGAATCAGCCTCTCTGATCCCTCCTCCCAGCCTCTACGAGGTTAATGTTCTTCAAGCATGGCTCTGCTGATAGAGTCTGAATTTAAAACGTGCAGTCATTTAACCCAATCATGTTTCCTGATCTTCAGAACTAAATCCAGACTCAGTAACCTTGGCTTTCTAGATCTTTCACACCATGGCATCTCCAACCTCACTTACCTGTCTTGTCTCCTCCTCCTCCATGGAGACACTTGGCCCTATGCTACAGGTCGTCTGACTCCATCCTGTTCCCCAGACATTCTTCGCACTTGCTTCCCTCCTGCAGAGTCTGCATGTCAGGGTCTGACAGCTGGCCCTCCTCTGAAGCTCCTTATTACCCCCACCACCACCTGTATGTATGTGCACCAACATGCACAATTACAACAGAGTTCTCTCTCCCTCCTTTTGCACAACACTGTGCACCTCACATATGGCACCATTTTGTTTTTGTCTTTTCATTATTTAGGTAGGTTTCTTAGTTCTCACAGTAGATTATAATAAGTTCCTTAAAAACAAGGGTAGTGTCTTCCTCACTTGTCTCCATTATGCCTGGTACAAAGCCTGTACCTAATAAGCCTTCAAATCCTTGTGGGATTCCTAAAGCTTAGAGTAACCGTCTGCTCTTATCCTGCAGCACTACAGTCACCCATTGAGTATCAGCGGAAAGAAAGGAGCACAGCCGTGATGAGGTCCCAGCCTGCTAGGACTCCCCAAGCCAGCCCCAGGCCCTACTCCTCTGTCCCTGTGGGCTCTGAGAAGCCCCCAAAGGGCTCCAGCTATAACCCACCTCTGCCACCCCTGAAGATATCTACCTCCAATGGCAGTCCAGGGTTTGACTACCACCAGCCTGGGGACAAGTTTGAGGCCAACAAGGTAAGTGACAGCCCATTACTCCCACCCTTACCACTCTGAGGGCACAGCCTCGGGGCTCACTTTAGGAAGTAGCATCTTTTTATGCTGATCATTTTAGCAAGAACAGCCCACTAAATACAGCCTAGTCTCAATTATTTCTCTTTCTTCCCCAGCAAATTGAGTAAGGTAGCCCAGTTCCCTCTGGCTCAGATACTTGGTGTTAAAGGGCTGTTGTCATTTGCAGAAACTCAATGCAAATATAAGGTATTATTGTAGAGGCAATTATGAAGACGGGTGATATATACCAAATAGAGTAGTTGTGGTGTGGATCATCTAAAACTCACAACTCTAGTGTGTGACATCTTAAAGAGATTGCCCTTTCTAATGATGAGCTGCTAAAGTGAGCTCACAGTTCTTCACCATCCGTTGGCTGATGTGGCAAAGGGAAGTTACTCATCTGTGAGCGAATGGGGTAAGCCAGCCTTGGAATAAACATTTGTCATAAATAACCCACAATTCAAACATCACCATGAGGCTAGTCGTAGACTTAACTGTAGACCCAATCAACACAGCTATTTTGATGCTACACAGTAAGAGGAATGAGAACAAATGGGAAAAGTTCTAGATTAGGAGTCAGGCAATCTGGTTTCTGTTCCAAATCCCGCAACTCACTTGCTCTAGAACCTTAGCAAATAGTTAATCTCATGAGGCCTCAGTTTTCTCTAGAACTCAATGGGTCTGTGAATAGGAACAGCTACATTTTTGACCTACCTACATATTTTGATTTTATAGTTTTATTCTTTTTACCAAAATTATTAGATGATATTGATTTTTTTTAATGAACTATTAATGTCTAAGTTCAATTCTGTATTGGAGTAACTGTACCAAGCTATTTCATCACAAGACCTGGAAATGATTTTCCATCTTAAAAACCCCCTGCCCTTGTGAATAAGTTGAAGTCACATTGCATTTTGTCAAACTTACTGAAGAATTTCTGGTTCTCATCATGCTCTGCGAGGCAGCCAAGCTTCCTTGGGAGTTACAGGTCTGTCCAGAAGCAGCTTCCCTGGTGTAGAGTTATGTGAAAAGGCTATGCAGGCAGGACCTCTCAGATTAATGAATACAGTGGGGGTGGGGGTGGGGGCTAGGGGATTTCCATTCCCACAGGAGTTGGGTCAGGGTAGGTCATGGCCTTGCCTTTGAATTAGGCAAATGTCTCATTGTTACTTCTGTCTCAAGGAGGGTCAGAATGTAAAGTAAGACCAATGTTTTTTCAAAAGGAAGAGAAAAATATATCAAAGGGTCTATGTTTTTCCATTATGGGGTTCTGACCCCTGACCTGACCTTTGCCCTGACCTCACTCTGCTGAGGTGCATACATATCCCTGTGCCAGTGCCATGCTCTACCTTCCATTAGTGAGAAGATACTGGCAGGAAGGTTGCCTGCTAGGGAGGGACTTCCAGGAGGAAGGTGTGTTTATACCTTTACCTAGGCCGGGCAGTATCTCTACCTGTTCACCCTTGGTTATGATATTGTATGAAACATTACTATAAAAAAAGCATTTTCAGAGCACGTCTATGAATATAATTTCATTACTCAAGATACTTATCTTCTGCCTCCTACTTACCCTGCTAGTAGGAAGTTTGGCTTTCAACCACCCAGTAGGATGGAGAGCAAGCCCATGTGACCAGCCTTCTTGTGTCTGTGTCCCTCTCGCCCTTGTCTCCTAGCAGAGCGACCTGGGAGGCTGCAATGGGACCTCGTCCATGGCCGTGATCAAAGATTACTATGCACTGAAGGAGAACGAAATCTGTGTGAGCCAAGGTGAGGTGGTCCAGGTCCTCGCCGTCAACCAGCAGAACATGTGCCTGGTGTACCAGCCTGCCAGCGACCATTCCCCTGCGGCCGAGGGCTGGGTCCCGGGCAGCATCCTGGCGCCCATCACCAAAGCCACGGCAACAGCAGAAAATAGTGACGGGAGCATCAAGTAAGTGCCTCGTTGGCTTCCCCGGGAGAGGAGTATGTGGATTAAAAAAATTCAAAAGCAAACAAAGAACACAAAAATGCAAACACACGGTAGGGAATTACTGCTGCCTATTCTCGACAGCGCCACCGGAACCAATGTTTGAGTGCTGGAACCACACGCAGCATGGGGCATCCAGGCTGGAGTGTTCCGATTTTTTGTTGTTGTTGATGATAGTGGCAGTGATTTTTCTTTCCTTTTCGTTTATAATTTTCTCTTCCTTTTTTCCCCTCTTTTTCCCCCCTTCGTTAAGAAAAGAACCCTACTGAGACCCTAGATGACAAAAGGCATGCCTTCCGTTGCTCCATTTGACCCACCACAGGATTCACTGGACTGGACTTCTATTTATATTGTATTAAGTTACTGATATATATATATAAATATTTTTGATTGACACCAAAAAATTACCTTAGCACAAATGCCAGACCTGTATAGGTCAGAGGCCCGCTGCTTCTCCCAGGAGAGAGGGAACTTTTTGGTTGTCTATGGCAATTCCTCTGTACAGATTGTAAGTTTTTTTTTTTTTTAATTTTCCCCCTCCCCTGTCACTCTAATATATGTTCATGGTAATTTGTAAGATATTTCTTTTCCTCATTTTGGTTGCGAAGACCCTTCTGAACACATTCCTGTATAAAGTATTTTGCACTATTTAAAGAAACCCATATGGATGAAGTCAGGTTGTGCAATATAATGGAGAGTCACAATGTCCATCATTGTACCTGTAATGTAACTAATAATTTTAAATGTACTATTTTAAATATGTAAAATAAATTTTCACCATGAGCATGTTTTAATGAAGTTCAAGACTAGTTGACCCTTTTTCCCCCATTTCACTATTCTGGGACTTTTAAATGTGCAAATGATTCTTCTTTTTTCTTTTTCCTTTCTGTATTTTAGGAATTGGTTGAATGCATTGGCACCTTTTTCCTACACAAAACATGCCTTTGTTGCTAAAGCTCCAACCCTAGCTTTCCCTTCTCAACAGCCCCTATTGGTTTTCTCTAATCTCTAAGATGAGGAATGATGCAGATTGGATGCTGTCCAACTGGGTGACCTTGAGGTCCTGACATCAATTAATGACTAGAGTAGAAGGCAGTGTTTGGTGTGCATCCCCCACTGCTTTCTATGCTGTGTGGTCATCCACGGCAGGAGCTCCCATAAGATATCTGAGCAGGGGCACCAACAGCTTCTTTGACCCTTTCTATAGCTCAGGGGATAGAGGCTACTGACCTCATCCTGGTCTTTCTAGGTAACCACAGGTCCAGCTGGAAATCAGTAGTGGCCTCTAAGGCACAATAGCCTCAATTCATTTTATCTAAAGACACTTGGTTTTGCTACCTTTTAAGAAGCCTTGGGAATAAAGGCCCTCAAAGCACTGAAGTTCCTATTAATCAGTGGCCTTACAGAGCTAACATATAATGATTTGTGATCTAATTATCCAGACACTCAGCACTTCTTCCTCCTCACCTTTGGGTCTTTTTGTCACTTTTTCACACCTTCCATGGGAGGGAAGGTAGGAGGAGTGTCAGGCTGGGCGAAAGAGAACAGATGCAAATACAAATTGGTCATTTTGGTTCCTTGTCAGTTGCTCTTGCACAAGGGTTGGTGGGGGTGGAGCAGAGCAACTGACGAAAAGTGGTTGTCGGTATCTATCAGTGAGGGACACTCACTGCACCCTCCCCGGGGCCTGTTATGACCACAGGGGTCAGAGTTGGTTGTGATGCCTACAATATAAATGTCACGAAACCCTGTTTCCACATCAGTCCCTGGGCTTACGGGCAAGAGATGGAAGCTCCCCAAACCATGATGACAAGTTCTTCTGGGAAGAAGAATATGAGATTGAGCCTGTCCTGATGCTTGTACTACTCCGAGTCTTCCTTCTGAACGTTATTTGTAACATTTCTAGTTTCTCACCAAGCATCCTGAATGATCTAGAGGGTTGCAGTAGACATAGGAACATACCCCCACACTCACACATGCACACACTATGCTGTCTGCCCTGGGAGTCTTTTCAGCAGGGACCTCCCTGACTCAAGATGTTCTCCGAATGAGCCAGGGACATGGGTTTTGGGGGTAAAGATATGAGATGAAAGTCTGAAGTTAACAGAGTGATGTTATCTAAGGTTAGTTTCCATGACTGGTTCTCACTCGGATATAACAGTTGGAGCGAGGAGCTAGTATGCTGGGGATCCTAGAGGGCCTGCCTATTTGGCAGGTACAGGAGAAGGTCTGGCCAAGAGATTCTTGCTTTTTGAAGGAGCCCCCTTTCTGCAAAAATTTGAGAACATGGCTATGATAGCTCTTTCCTACTCAGAAGGTTGATTGTTGAGTATATGTGTTAGTGACAAATATTTTAGGAACACCTTCCTCAGGACATCCTAAAATTCCTGACATATATGGAGTTTTATGGAGGAGATGCTATACGTTTTGGGGCATCCTCCTTCCTCCCAAATCTCATATGCTTCTCTCTCTCTCCTCTCTCCCTTAATGAAGCCTCTTTTCATTGAACCCTGTCTGCATAGGCCTAAATTTGACAAGGAGACACTGAAGGGAAGCCAACCTCACTTATCCCAGGCAATGTTAGAACTTCATCCAAACTGTGACTACACCTGAAATTGATGATGCCTGCTCAGGGTCACTGATGCTGTTTGTGACTTGGCTTTTGGTGTATTTGAGTCCTGACATAAGTGGAACTTGAGAGCTCTGCTCTGAGCTTCTCTTCACAGGTCTGTGAAGAAGTAGTTCCCATCCCCTGAGGGGAAGAAATAAAATAGGATGGTGTGAAAGGGCATTGCTGCCCTCACCTCCCTGAGAGCACGTATTGGGTCTTCTCCCAACAAGAAAACTCTAGCACCTCTTAGTGATTGACAGAGCCCTGTATTCACAAACACTGAGTGATGTGGAGAATGTAGACCGAGAAACCCTTCATCCTAAAATATCCATCTAAATGAGTAGGTGCTCAACTGTTTTAAGTCAAGTGCCCCAGAAAACCCTATCTGTACTATAGTGTTGGGAGTGGCCACAGCCCAAATACAAATAATGAGATGGAAACCTCGAAATCATCCTTTTGGGTCTTTGTATCTGGTCCTGGGAAAGTGCTAGTAGCTTATGCACCATAGAATATACTTCTCTTATCTTTCCTGTTTTACCCCTACCCCAACCCCACTCCCCATTCTTCCCATCCACCATACCCTTCAGGAAGGGAATTCCTCAGTCCTATACGGCCTTACCAGTATGATATAAAAAATCCCCTTGGTAGAGTTTAATAACTCATATTTTCCTCAAATGCTGCAGCCAACCTCGCACATCTATCAGGAGGGGTCAAAGTTCATCCTCACTCACTGTTGGAGGTGAGATCAGCTGCCAGCCACCACAGGAGCTGGCATGCAGGTTTGGGGCCTCTGAAGCCAGGGCTTGACTGGAGCACCTCACCTACTGACTCATCTAAGGGTGGCAAGCCCACCTACCGTCTCACTCTGCCCTGACCTGCCATTTTGATTGGTGCATTTTTTGGTACAACAGGAAGTCATGTTCATGGCATACTCTACGCATGAGAAAGCGGGCAGAAGTGGAGAACACGGGTAAAAATGAAGCCACAGGGTCTCGTAAACCCAAGGATATTCTGGGCAACAAAGTCTCTGTTAAAGTGAGTAAGGTATTCCGCAGCTGTGTCCACCTCTCATCTCCTCCCACCCTGCAGCATTCTCACGAGGCAACTTGGGTGGATGGGATTTTTTTTCCTCAGTGTGGGGACCAGAGGGGAAGTAGTTTAGCAGGATTTTGCATGCAAGATCAATTTATTTTTTATTTTTTATTTCTCCTGGCAACTTCGATTCAAATAAGTAAGTATCATCTCTTTTTTTTTTCTTTTATGCCTTTCTCTTTATCCTGTGCAGATGTTTTATAGCAAAATTATCTGCAGCATTATTCTCTTAGAAATGCAAGGTGCTTAATTCACACTAAAGTTCTCAAAGCTTCCCATTCAGTATCCCAGGTTTTAAAAATACTTGCAGGGTAAAGAGATTAGGGATGCTTTCCAAACCCCCAACCCTGTGAAGTCTGAGGTTTGGAATTTAAGGGCTACTGTGTCTTTGGTCAAGTTTCATTTCTTTTCCCCAGAATTCAGACAACATCACCTTCAGGCCTATGCGTGGGCGGGGATGGGAGACACACTGGTGAAGCCCAAGTTATTGCTTTCTAATAATCCACCTGTTTCTGTGAACTCACTGATTCTAAGCTTTGGCAGACCCTTGTTGTCCCCCATCTTGAAACGATGTGATCTGTTTCAAGTTGGGCCCTCTGAAAAGACCTGCCCCTGAACCATGGAAATTAGACTGCTGATGTTTAATTTGGTTATAATGTGTGATTATCTACCAGGCACTTTTTTCCCTTCCTGGGCAAAATAAGAACAACTGAAACCCATTCTAACGTTCTTCTTGGGGAAAAGAAATTGTATTCTCTCCTTCACCCTCATCTGGGCAGTCCAGCCTCACAGAAGACTACAGTTTAAATTCTACAGCACTCATGCTACATTCAGTTCCCTCCATTGCTGTTTCCTGTGAGATGAGCGGCTGTACGTGATCCCCGCCTCCTCTCCCTGAAAAGAGCATGCTGCGCCCTTGGTGGTTCGCACCCCACCTGAAAAGCACCTGGTTTTCTCTCTGCCCGAGTCCCCATTGCCCATGCTGCTCTGGAGTTCTCCTCGCTCTCTAGCAAAAGCTGCCTGTGTTCTAACTGTGTTCTCTTTCTTCCCCCTTCCTCATGCTGCCCACCAAGGAGACCAACAGTTCCGAGGAGTCAGAGTGTGATGATCTTGACCCTAATACTAGCATGGAGGTAGAAGCAGCTATTGTTGTCCTATTTCCTACAATGATTGTCTTTTTTAATGTGTTCTGTAACAGTGACCTTGCTAAAGTGGCCAGCAAGTCAAGGATGAATTGTTATGTCAGGGCATCTCTGGGTGGCCCATCCCAACTTAAAAAAAAAAAAATTCAGCTCAATTTTGGTGGAAAACTCTACCTAGATATCTTTTTAAATGCATGAACTTCTGTTTCTCTTGAATGTTTGCTTGATATTTTCTTTTTTTGGCGGGTTTGGCTTTATGTAGAAAATATCTAACCTCATTATTGGAAACTTAGAACACATTTTTTTCATGGAAAACGGCATTGTAAAGAGTGGTTGGTTCCTAGCTAAAAGACAAGAACCCATTTAGTTTTAGTTTCTCCCTCCTCCCTTAACCCTCTTTCTTTCCCTTTATCCTCTTCCTCTGGGTCGTCTTCTACTGGGGCCTATTCCTCCCTCAAGGCTCCAGCAAAATCATGTTTTAAGTATGGTTTGTGGAGACCTGGCACCTGGTCACTGTGTATAGCTGGCTGGTAGCAAATGATGAGTGGTTGCAGCAACTCCAGAACCCGCCTCTGCCCGGCCCCCAGGGCTTCTGGGCGGTGGCTGTGCCTACTGTGAGGGGAAAGAAGCCCTGGGAACAGCCTCCCTCCCATACTCTTAGCAGAGGCCTCTCTGGAGTCGGGGAGACTGGAACACTGCCCTTCGGACCTCTCTCACACTCTAGGGTTACAGGGATGTGGGTGTGGAACCACCTCCACCAACAGGAACATCAAATGGACTTCTAGCTCCTCCTACGCTAGGCTCTATTTGGGGTTATAGAAACAGGACCCTTACATGGCTTGCCATGGAGCGACAGCTGTCATAAATTTACAAACCCTGGAGAATCAGAGCAAACTTGGAGCTGGCTTTCCCTGCCCTTTTGTCTTTCAGAGGAAATTGAAATGTTTTTCTCCAAATCTGTGCCCCTATTTCCAGTAATGGATGAAAGTTTAGAGGGTTCTTATAAGCACAAATAGAGACTATTTTTTTGAAAACTTTTTCCTTTTTATAGCCCTCAGCTTTTCACTTAGCTAGATGGACTTTTATTATTCTAATTTGACCTAACCCCAAAGAAATCCACCACCATATTATGACAACCACCACAAAACCAGCAAAGACCATGCAGCCTACTGGGGTAAGTCAGCTGTGGAAGACGCCAATTGAGTAGAATCGGGCCAGAGACAAGTGGTTGTAAGTAGGAGTTCTGCCAGGATAAAATAGTCCCCTGTGGATGTGGGTATTGCCACAGAGCTAAATCTGGCAGGTGTGGGTCAATGCAATGCTCCACTGTGGGAGGAAGTGGATATGGCATTCGTAGCCTAAACGTTATCTTAGAGAATGAGGAAGCCAGGGGAAATTCCTGGCTCTGCTTTCCTTGCATTTCATAGGATAGGCACCAGCTCCCATGGAGCCCACACCTGTCAGTTTGTAGATCCCTGGTGGCACCTATATCTCCAGGCCTAAGTGTTGCTGGCGTGTATCTAATTGTGTTATCATCTGCAAGTAGATGACGGCCAGGCAGAAGGAAGGGAAAAGCCAGATATCTGTGTTCCAGAAGGCAGTTTGGGACCTTTTTCAGCTCTCTGGAGTTGGGGGAGAAGAGTGTCTTTCCCACTCTGCTCTGTAAAGGAACAAGGGGGCCCAGGGGGCTGTGGGACCAGGTGAGCAGCACACTGAGAAGGTTAAGTGATGTAATCAGATGCTCCATTCTATATTCGCATAAGCAAAAGCACATGCACACGTGTGCACACACGTGTCTGAGCTCTGCTTTGTGAATTGAACACGTTTCTTCTTCATCCTAGGCTTGCAGTCCTTTGCATAGGCTGAGTGAGATGGGTCCTGGGGAGGTGCTGTGGGTGCCTAAGCAAAGGCATTAGGATGGTAATGCTGAGCAGAGGAAAGCCAAAAATTGTGTTAATGCAGGTCTGAAAAGTTTTCAAATACAATAGGAGGCAGAAATTTCAATTACCTGGAACTCTTGAGGGGGTGTGTGGGTGGAAACTGCAAATATTCTGGTTAATCCAAGGTTTCTGTAGAGGTGTGGATGTAGCCCTTGTGTATTTCATGCGGCTCTTTTTAAGCATCAGCGAACTCTGCTGAACTGTGTTGCCATGTCGAAATTAACTCGGAGCACATAAGCAGGTCCTGAGGGAAAGCAGGCATCTCGGCACAGCTAGTTTAGTATTTTCAGACAGAAATAATAAATAAAATATAGCAAGTCAGCCTGTTCAACAGGAGTTGAGAATTTTCTTACAGGCTAGGTAAGTAGAACTTTACTGCAATGTCTATTGCAGAAGAAGAAAGTGGCCGATGAAGACAGCTGTACCTCGCAGGCCCACTTGAGGAACAGGTGGGCGGGCCGCCTCTTGAAGGCCTCTCGCTGCTAAATTGACAGTTTTGGTCATGTTACCAGGCCCAACCTGGCCCCAACCTCACTCTTGTCCTCTCAACCTGATTACTGTAGTGGGCGTTGTCTCTGTGGGAGCATATCCCTGTGCCCTGCCGAGCTGAACTGCAGCTCCGTGGCCTGTGCTATGAGCACCTGTGCCTGGAACCCCAGCTGACATCCGGTCCATGCACCACGTGCACTGCTCCATGCTAGGTCTCCTGCCCTGCTCACTGCCTACCCTTGTCCTGCTGCCAGCACATTGATTCCAACCCTAGCTGTGTGCAGGCTCTTGGCTCCTGCCTCCACAGGAATGTCACTACCAAAGCATTCTTTGTTTTTTCTCAATTGGTCAATTGAAGCCTTCCTTTAAGGAGCAGTTTCCTGGAGTCTTTTCTTACACACTAGCTGCTTGCTTACCCTCAGGGCTGGCATATGTCCCGCCATACTGTTTTAGGGAGCTATATGAGCACATCTTTGAAAGCTAATTAAGAGGAAAATAAAGCACCTTGAATCCTAGGAATCTGATTTACAGAGCTTTCCAAGAACGCTCAATTATGTGAAGGAGGCAATTCTGCTCTAAGGTTTACATCCTTTTTCTTCCCCTGTAGAGACACACTTGTGAATATTCTCAAGTACAACCCCTACTCCCAACCCCCAACACACAGGCCACACCACCAACCGCTGCAAGATTGGCTCCGGGTCTATGCGATCCCCTCGTGGCCTCGCACCCTCTTCTCTCCTGCTGATCCGTGACCACACCTCAGAGAACTGTTCTAAACATGGCAAGGGTCTGCCCAGAGTTCACCTTACTTCCTTACCTTGCACTGATTACACTTTGGGGGTGTGTAGGAGTGGAGGGGAATATTATATGTGAGAGACATGGTCCTACGTGGAAAAAGAGTCAAATCAGACTGAAAATCAAACATTAGGCTGTCTTGGAAACAAGTTCACATTAATTTATTATTTCCTGTGCAGCTTAGACTGCTGATGGCCTTTTATTGACAAGGACTGCAGGCGTGACAGGGGGCTGGGCACCACATGCCCCCTGCCAGCTTCTCAGTCCTGCCCCTGCCCCAGCGTCTGCGCTGACACCCAGGCTGGAGCTAGGGCTTGAGGTTCAAGGGGCAGCATCTGCCCACTGAGCCAATGCCCATCTCGGAGAAGTCTGGATGCTTTCTGAGCTGTATTGGATTTCTCATAGGACCCATGCTAGGCAGGTTCCCACACCCATACCGCCTCTGAGAAGTTGTCTGAGGGCTTTTGCACCTGCCCTCCAAAACCAGCACTGCACTTGCCTACATCATACGCTGGAGTAGGAAGACCTGAACCAACATCCCAACTTGGGCTTTGTCTTCAGGGATAAGGATTCTCAGCCCAGCTTTTAAGTCATGTCCAATTAATTAAATACATCTTAAATTAAAAAAAAAAATTCCAATACCACTTTTAGCAGAGAAGGTCAATCTATCAGAGTAAGAGTTGTCACGATTCCAGAAAGACTCCATCTCTGCCCCAGCCATTTACCACAGGGCCAGCCTCATCCACAACACGGAGTCAGTGCCGACATTACCCTCGGTCATAATACCAGCCACGGCATGCTTAGCTCTGGGGGTTACTTTCTGCAGTAAGAACAGGGTTGGGATCTTGTGGGAGATGGTTCTGAGAGATGAGGGGGAGAAAGCACTTGGAGAGGTGAAGCTAATTTGGGAGGAAATTTCCAATTAGGGTAATAATCTTAGAGTCCATGGGAACTTGGAAACCTTTAGTTAATCCCATCTGTACCCACCACCGTTGTTCCCCCACCTACACCATCCTGCTTCCCTCTTGGAGCAACCCATCTCCAGGTTGTTTTTAATCTAAAACACAGATCCTGGCAGACGAGAAGACCTGCCTTTTCGTGCCAGTTTTTCTGTATGAATTTGTTATTCAGTTTTCCAGCTCAGCAAAGAGGAATATCATTTCTGCCCATCCCAGCCTTCTGAGGTGGAAGTATGACTTAAAAATCTCACAAAGGCAGTATCACATGGAAAGAATGCTGAAATGGGAGTCAGAAAAGCTGGACTCTAGTCTGGGTACCATCAGCTGTGAGGCCTCGGACCAGTTAGTTCTGAGCCTCGGGTTTATCTGTGGGAGGTCGCACAGCTCCAGGTGGACAGGTGTTTATGTAAGTGATGTGCAGCCCTAAGGTGTGATAGCAAAGGGCTTTGCTCTCCCAACCTTCTGATTCTGAAAACAACGAGACCCCAACAGAAGAGGAAGTAGAAGATTCTGTGCCTTGCCCCTTAAAACTTACTTTGCAGGGGATGTGGCGGGAACGACCTGGGTACATTTCCTCCTGAGACCTGACTGGCGTGTCCACTCCCAGCTCTGGGAAGGGTCTGAGTGGCCAGAGCTGACCCTTCTTTCCATTCCCCAGCCCCAGCTCCCATGTCTTCAAAGACAGCCTGCTGCTCCCACCTCAGCTGCCTTGACTCCTTGTCCCAGATTCAGAGCTTCAAAATAACCTGGCCAGACGGATTGAAGGAAACTTTTACACCCCTCGTCAGATGACTGACCACCTGGCATT